CACTTTCATATGAGACACTGCAAGGCTCAATCCATTCCCCAACCCCAAACAGGGAGGAAAAAAAGGCATTCTTTGGTTTTTCCTGAGCTCGCTGTCTTTTCATAATGACTCACTGGGTTTGTTTTGAACTCCAGTGGCTGGGCTTGAGTGGCTTCGTACAGTGACCGAAAAAAAATGAAAAAAAACTAATTAGATAGTCATGAAGGGGTAATAATGATTGCAGCAGTGGCGGTGGTGTAATCAATAAGAAGATGGAGACTGACAGAGACAGCAGGATAACCTTGGCACATCACGGTGCAGCAGAAAGAGACAGGTGTACCTTTAACTTAGGTGCCGAGACTAGACTTGACCAAGCCGTCTATTCTCTCAAGTACAGTACATACATGTACGCCAGTCAGTAAGCAATGCAAGAGGGTGCAGACCAGTAAATCGACTCCCATAGACCTCAGTGATAATTACGCGCACTTTGAACTTAAAAAAAAAAAACTCACAACTCTCCAAGGTGTTTGAGACACCCGTCAAATTAAAGCTTATCTCATCATCTTTCATTTTCTGTTCAATTTTCTGGTGGTAGTCTGATGACTTCTGGGAGAAAATTCCAACCAAAGATGATCACCCCTAAAAGTGGTCCTGTGGCCCATCGCCATGCCTGGGCTCCATTGCAAAATACAGGAATTTTAGGGCCCAATTTCATCCAAATTTCACAGAAATACGAGCTTGCACTCCTGTTCACGGCTTCCACCCTTCTTTTTTTACAAACCCTCAAGTTTATGGCCCACAAAACGCTCTAATCCGCTCCGTTCACAAGTACCGGTACCCCCTCACTGGCAAAGAAGGAACAGTTGACCGACCGATGCCATCTTGCCTGACTGCAATTTTGCCGCGACGCGCGGCCGTACCACCACTGCATGTGCATAGTACAAATCCCCTGGTGTACGTGCGGCACACACAAGGAACGGTGCGCATCAACCAGCTAAATGTCCCGCCCATGGGACGTCGTTGCTAGGTAAAAGGGCGCCCTCTTTCATTGGCGCACGGAGCCCATAGCAAAAACATTGAGGGCATACAATTTTGGCCCTACAATTTTGGCCCGCGTAGGTAATTTTTTTTGTCTTAAAAAAAAAAAAAAATCAGCAGAAACATACTTGCTTTTTAATACAATATTTTTGTCAATAAAAAAGAAATCCTCTGGGCAGACTTGCTTAAGTCTATTGTACCACCAGATAAAGATGACAGATGGACTAGTTTATTATTGATATCTTGGCCGCTTCCACTCAATACCCCAATACTGACGTTCCAGGTGATGGCACAGCTCAGCCCCTGTAATTAATTAGTTGTGTCCAGTTTGGGGTTGTTGGAGCCGGGTTAATTAAAGACAATGGCTAATTAAAGGGACTACATGTATGTGCAATTTAATATCTAAGGGTGTGTCTGAAAACGAGTCTTGACAGTGGCTACGACTAGTCACTGCAGTGAGTCTATGGAAAGCGTTAGCCCTAAAAAAAAATCTGCATTCGGACATTGTCTTATCTTATTTTGTTAAAATTAATTTTAAAGCTGGAGTCCATCATTTGCAGCTATCCAAAAAGGTATTTGGCGTAATTATTGTTGAAAAACATACTGGTTGGAAGATAGTAAGGGGACTAAACTCCCTGTGAAATTATTCTTCCTGGCAAGCTCTCATTTTGAAGAAATCAACGAAAGAAGGCCTTTCCAACGGTGCGTCTTAAGAAGCACCGTTGGAAAATTTAAATTAGTAGTTCGTTTTGTTATTTGGCGCAGCGCGCGCAAGCATTGGCACGACGCACAGGCGCGTGCGGTTGCTACAATTCGTCGGATCTGTGCGCGACATCGCGTAAAGCTGCAATTCAAAACAATTCAAAACATGATTTAGCAACTTTTGATTTGAAATTGAGATCCTAGAATGCTGTTTTTCTCAGAATATACAGCTGAAGCTGAGCTGAAACTTCATCAGGTTAGTTTTTCAGTATCCTTCATTAGATTTTGAACACTTTTGTTGCTTCAAACGAACAAAATGCACAAATTACAAATGATGGACTATGTCTTTTAGGAAAACAAAAAATTAAGGTTAAAAAATACAGGTTGTACCGGTAAATTTAAAGTTTTGGTCAGCAATTATTCATTAGCTTATCTTAATCTTATTTTGTTAAAATTAATTTTAAACAAAACAAAAAAATGAGTTAAAAAAAAACTGGTTGTAAATTTAAAGTTTTAGTCAGCAATTAGTCATTTTCTTGTCATCTAATCCCCGTTACTCAGACAGTGTGTTTAATAATAGATAAAAAAATGTCCATTGTTTTGGATGATTATTTGTCACAGAATGGCATGTGTACACAATTTATGATGTCTTTGTCACTTTGTGCATAATGCATATCAGATACAGTTTGGCTGTAATATGATAAATTGCAATAAACATTCCATTGCATTTACTCACACAGTGTGGCCACATATTGCATTATACATGTAAATGCTGACTCCCTGGTGTGTGCAGTTTGCACTTAAAGGGAAAATACAACATTTGCAAACATCAAAAAATTAAACTACCAAATCATTTTGAAATACATTGCTGGACTGTTAGTGAATGACAGTGTAAAGCATCCTGTAAAATCATGGCACCTGGTATACTGTCATTTTCAAGAAAAGTGGTATTTTTGTATCAATTTCCAACGCTGGTCGGCCGACCAGCGTTGGAAAAAACTGGCTTTTTTTTCAAATACTGTCCCCAGTTGACCATCGCACTTGTTTGCAATCGATTACACACCTATGAACGGCTACAAGCCAGCTAGACTGGTTTCCTGACCTTACAGTTCCCCAATGTATGTAAACTGCTCTGTTTCTTCTTTTATGGAGTCAGGGAACCAGACTACAGGAAAATGATTATTTTTCTTGGTTTTTATAGCATTTTCGAACCCAAAACCTCAAAAAATTTAGTGTAACTATATTTGCTATATATTTCCAACCCCCCAATTCCATCCATTTCTGAAAATTACAGCAAAAGCAAAAGATGTATATTCCCTTTAAATCACTTGACCCAATTGTGTCCATTGTATTGTTGTTAATTAGCTCCAGATTTCTGCACTAGATTGCCATCTGATCTAGCCCACTCAGCACATCTTCTGGTACTTTGTGCACCGCTGCACTGCCAGTGTGCACGAGTGGCCATTGACCCTTTCTGTATTGTACAATATTGCGTTTTATACCCGTATAGATTTTAATCGTGGATAAATGGGTTATTGTATCCGGACATCGGCCGTAACAGAAACTGTATACTTAAGCTGAATGCGGGTGGCAATTACGGGGGTGGGGTCTATTACTATAGCCATTGATACATGTGTATATATGTAAGAGGGATGAAGCTTATGAATTCTGATTGGTTAAAAGATGACCATGTGACTATGCTTCATGCATTAGGCATGTGTTTTACTACATGTACTTACTAAAATATGAATAAAATAATAATATTGATTTATATACATGTACATGTACATCATATACATGTACCGTACATGCAGCACACACTAACCAAACTGGTTATCATGGCGCAGTACAACATTATTACCCCTGCTCTCCGGGCCAATGAATCATACCAAAAACCATCTCAGCTCTGTGAGTACATGTAGCTCAATGCTGCCATATCAGGGCAAGCGGCTAAATCAAGCACAGGACCATCTCTGCCCATTTTTCTCCAGGGTGGGGAGAGGCAATGAGTGACAAAGTGCCTTGCCTAAGGGCACATGCACCAGAACCATAGGCTGGATTCGAACCCACAACCTGCAGATTTACCCACAAGATAATGAGTTAAATGCAACCAGAGTGGGCCACAGCACTCCACCAATAGGTTATGAGTATTTTTTTAAAAAGCCAATGTTTTTTTGAGGTGCTTTGTATAAAAATGTGGCTCAGAAAGTTTATACATGTATGCTAAGAAAATTTGGCAATTAGCGGAGAACCAGTAAAAGGCATTGGATACATCACACAACATGTTAGCCGGTAACCTGTTTTTGCTATATAGCCAAACTTTTTTCTTCCATGCTTGACCAATTCATTTGCAAAGATGACCACTGTCATGTGACAGTCACATGACCTCATATCCTCCAGGCGTTGCTATTTTTAGTCCAAATTTCCTGGGGCATCTGTTTAGGAAGAGGAAACAGACTTACGCAAGTCTAACCTTGGCTAAGTAATCACCCAAGCGGAAATCCTACCCTAATTTCTAAATTCGGCAAGTCGTTAATGAAGACCAGTCTTTTTTTTGTTTCCCTTCTTGCGGTAATTAGACCATGAACCAAGGAAGAGGCTGATAATAGCAACAGATAAGAATCGAGTCCGGGCGCCAGACTGGCGTGATGAGTTGTTTACATGTGTGTGGCTGCAATGACTGAGTGTAGACAATGGAGGAAAAAAAACAATAATATGTACATGTACATTTGCAGATGTGGCTCACTTTGTTATTAAAAAAAAATACATAATTGAAAATGTATTCCCTTTTTGTATTCAGAATAAAGCATGTAAGCGTAATTCATTACTAATTACAAAACTTGCTTGAATTATTTTTCATTGAAGCAGATTTTTGTACGTACCGTTTTATGCAATTAAACCATTTTCCCTTTTCAAATGTTTAATTTTTAAGTTTTTCATTTTCAAAGCCACATTAACATTCAAATGTCTTAAAAATTACAAAACAAATTGAATACGGACCAACAGGAAGAATAGGAGACAGTTTAGAGTTGGTTCTGAAAAATTTAATTCAAGCATACATTTGTTTCGTCTATCAAACAAGAAACGTTCATCCTGGGGAGTACAGTACACAAATACTGCAGTTTTGTAACTTTGACAATATTAAATGGTGGGGAATAAAACAATTAAAAAACCATAAAAAAAATTGATTGTTGATTTGTTGTCATCATCCATCTTCCAACTCGATTAATTATCACTCTAACCTAATATGTCCTTTTTTCTTTTCCTTTTCTTAACTTCAGGCTCAGATGGATCTGCCTCCTGAGAAGGCAAGGCTCCTTCGTCAGTATGACGACGACAAGAAATGGGATCTTATATGCGACCAGGTGAGCAGGGTACCAGACTGTTTGTTTGTCAGTTACACTGTCCAAGTGTCTGTTTGTTTGTATGTAATCAAGTGAGGATGGCACAGTCAGTGGGTTGTTTATCTGTTGCACTGTCTTAGTGTCTGTCTGTTTTATGCGACCGGGTAAGGAGAGCACTGTCTACCTCACCGTTTGTTTGTTTGTTTGTTTGTTTGTCAGTCACACTGTTTTCTCTTTGTCTTTGGGTGTTTGTGGCAAAGTTTTCTACATGTGTTTCTAAATTTGGTTGTAGGAAAAAGTCTCTGCGAAGGATCCGCCACACACGTACATCTTACGAATCAAACGGGTGATGGAACCGGGGAACACATCAAAGGTGAGAAACATTTGTCCAATTCGAGTTCAATAAACAATTTTTTTAAAAATATTAAATTATATGTATCAGGCCAAAAAAAAAAATTAGTCGGTCTCTGTCAGCACGCGCGTCGATTTTAATCATGCGCGTCAATTTTTTTTTTTCCAAAATGTTCCGCGGTAGCTCCAACAGCGCCCTCTATTGCCGCACCTCCTCAGTTTTTTTTTACCAAAGAGCACCAAGGAATGGGAAATTGCACCAAGGCAAATGATCGAGAGCACCAAGGCAAATTATGGAGGACTCCAATGTACATGAGGACACCAAAAAAGCAAAATAGTACCCCACCTTGTTTGTACAATCCAAGCTTGAAGAAAAAAAAAAAAGCCACGTCCCCGCGTCAATTCCGGAACTTTGGTCTGACCAGAGACTGAATATATTTTATTTTGGCCTTAGCTTAGCTTTATTCATAAACAAATCTCAACTGCTTTTTCTTTCATGTTGCTTACAGCGCCAAAGAAAGAAGATATTTGACACGTCCACGCAGAACTTACGAGACTTGGAAATATCACTACGAACAAATAGTATACAGTAAGTACACACAGAGTTCACAATCAGCACAAACAAGCTGATGCCAAACAATCCCAACTTCTGCCCCACCCATCTCAAAAACAACTCCGCCCAATTCCAGCGCATCTAAAAAAAAACCTCCCCAAAGTCCAACCCATCTTGAAAACAACCCCACCCAATATCAACCCATCCTGAGCTGACCACACCCTGTCTACACCTCAGCCCCACCTACAATTGTTTTCACCAATTGCGAGCCAGCACCAGCTTGTTTCCAGTCCAACCCCACCCAACCTCTACCTTAGGCACTCCATGCATTCCCACTGGGCCACACCCGGGCCACACCCAGCCACACCCAACCCCACCTACCCTCCCTGCAACCCTCTTTTTCCACTTCGTTTCTCGACTCTACTTCTTCAGATGCATGTAATTGATTAATCATTGTATTTTCCCTACTTTTCTCTTCCAATTCTTAGATGGGTACGGGAGTTCCTGAACGAGGAGAATAAAGGCCTTGACGTACTTGTGGAATACCTCCAATGGCTCAACAAGGCCATGACGTGAGTACATCAGAAAAAGCTCTAGTCAAGTATTAGTCTGTGTCCAAACTGGGTGTCCAGATCCAGATCAGGTTATTCCCAGAGATGGTCAGCCGACCATCGTTGGAAATTGATCCAAAAATTCCACTTTTCACGAAAATGGCAGCACACCAGGTGCCACGATTTCACAGGATGCTTGAGACTTTTATTCACTTACAGTCAAGTAAGGTATTTCATAATAATTTGGGGCTTTTGTTTTTTGATGTTTGCAAATGTATATTACCTTTAAAGGGAAGATACAACATCAGCAAACATCAGAAAACAAAATGATCAAATTATCACCAAAGACCTTACTGGATTGTTAGGGAATGACAGTATAAAACATCCTGTAAAGTTGTGGCTCCTGGTGTGCTGACATTTTCAAGAAAATCTGTATTTTTCCAAAGCTGTTCGGCCGACCACCGTTGGTCGGCCGACCACCGTTGGAGAAAACTGCTCCTACTTTTTCACATTTCTTTGCAATTGATTACACACCTGTGAAGAGGTACAGGCCTGCTAGACTGATTCTCTGACATCACAATTCCCCAAAGTCTATAAATTGCTCCGTTTCATCTTAAGTGGGGTCAGGGAACCAGACTACAAGAAAATGATTGGTTTTCTTGGTTTTTCAAGCATCTACAAGCCAAAACGTGAAACAAGTCAGTTTAACATTATTTGCTATAACATTTATTTCTGAAAATTGCAGCAAAAGCAATGGTTGTACATTGTCTTTAACAGTGAAATAGACAGTGAACTGACACAATAAACTTGTAAGGGAAATACCTGTACAACGTTTATACAAGGTTACATCCATAAAATGTCTGTGAACTTTGCACTTCTGAGAAAAGTGGTATCTGGAGTAGTCAGTTTTCATATTGCATTGTGCAGTACCATTTCCCTTTGGCACAATTAACGTTCAGTTTCGAGGTATAATGACCTACTTACACTTCCATGGAAATCCCCCCCCCCCCCCCTCAGTCTAAAATGTAATTAGATTAAACTCTACAACAAAAATAAAAAGTGAAAGTTCACCCTGATATGCCAGATCGACTTCACTTCAACCCAGAATATAAAAAGTTCTTTCACTTGGGGAAATTTATTAACCGATACTGTAAGAAAGCAAAAGTGAAAGGGGCCATTGCCTGACAAAATTACTAAAAAAATTACTACTAATAAATTTTAGTTTTCATATCCTTGAATGCTGTCTTTAAAGAAACAATTGAGAAACAAAAGCTAATTTCCCAGATGATGTTATCGATCGACACAGAGCCAGCATGTTTGTTTGGAGGGAAGTAAGTGTTTAGAAAATGACGTGTCAACGTTTATTTAGGAACATGACTTCTGTTTGCTTAAAGAAGCCAGCCGTTAATGATCACAAGCTGAGTTCCGACATTGGATGAAATCATCTGAAATCACTGAACATTTTAAGAGCATTAATATAAGTTTTGATGCCAAATGAAATTTTATGAAAAGAAACGGGGAAAAAAACCCAAAATAGAACCCCAGAAACAATCCAAATTATTAATAAATTACAATTTTAAAAAGTTTAAGGGACTTTAACCCATAATGCATTGCATTCTGATGGTGTATGGTTCCCTGAATTCTCGCACCAATTATATACCAGTTTTAGGCAGCAGCGGGAGACCCTCCTTAAGCCCACCTCTATATGCTAAGTGAAAAGTATTTCAAGACAAACCTTTTATCAAGAAGTTTATGAGAAAAAAAAAGGAACATGACAAATACTATAGGTCCGGACTTGAACCCACAATGCATTGCAGTGTATGGTACCCTGACTTCTTGTACCATTTGTCTACCAGGTTTGAGGAGCAGCTGGAGACCCTCCCCAAGCCCACCACATCACGCAGCATGCGGACTACCAGGCGTAGCTCCAAGCCCGGCGGATCCCCCAACCACCTGGCCATCACGCGAGACGACGTCCACGTCTGTATCATGTGCTGCAGGGCCATCATGAATTTTCAGGTATTTGGAGCCACTCCTGTACCTTCTCCTCCCCTTTCCCCAACTCTCTTAATACCGCCCCCAGCCGTTAACCCCTCCCCACCCCCAGCCCCTCCCTGCCCCAAGCCTGCAGCCCCCCCCCCCCCCAACCCCCAATCCAAGCCCCCGACGTCACTCTGTTCTTAAAGGGGAATTTAATACCTTCAAGTCATTCTTCTTAATTTGTTTTATTTCCGCAGTACGGCTTCAACCTTGTGATTAACCACAACGAGTGCATCAATGCAATAGCACTCAGTCTCAACCACAAGAGCCCAAGGTAAGGGAAAAAATGATCTAAAAAATTTATTTAGCAGCAGAAGAATTGCAAACAGTGTGGACTTGCTACTTAGTCATTCATGAAACCCTTGAAGAGCCAAAGTTGGGGAAAAAAAGGTGTCATTAAAAAAATAAGCTTGAGCCTGAATTAAAGATAGAGTACATCATTTGTAGCTATCAAAAAAGGATTTGGCCAAATTATTGTTAAAAAGCTTACTTGGTTTAAAGATAGTAATGACACTAAACTCTCTGTGAAATTATTCTTTCTGGCATAATGTCATTTTGAAGAAAACAATAACAGAAGGTCATTTCCAACGATGATTCAAGTGACACATTTCTGGAAATTTCCGTTACTAATTGGTTTGTAATTTGGTGAATTTGTGAATGGGTGGGGGCAAGCGTTGACACGATGCACACGCGAGCGCAGTTGATATTATTCGTCGGTTCAGTGTGTGACATCGCGTGGCTGTAATCGGCTGAATGAGAACGTGTTCCAGAAGCTGATTTCGGGCGCAATTCGCAATATCACTCGGCAACTTCTGAATTTAAAACCGAGATCCTAGAATATTGTTTTCTCAGAATATACAGCAATCTCAAGCTAAAAGTTCAGCAGGTTAGCTGTTAAAGGGAATATACAACATTTGCAAACATCAAAAAACGAAATTATCAAATTACCACGAAAAACCTTGCTGGATTGTTAGGAAATGACATTTTAAAGCATCCTGTAAAATCGGGGCTCCTGGTGTACTGACATTTTCAAGAAAACGTGTGTTTTTCCAACACTGGTCGGCCGACCAGCGTTGGAGAAAACTGGCTTCTTTTCAAAAGCTGCTCCTAATTTTTCATATTTTGTTATTCCACATTTTGTTTGCGATTGATTACACACCTGCAAACTCAGTTTTATCAACATTTGCTATACATACTAATCCTCCAAATCCATTTATTTCTAAATATTGCAGCAAAAGCAAATGTTGTACATTCCCTTTAAGCACCCGTCCTTAGATTTTGAGCACTATTGTTGCTTCAAACGACAAAAATGCACAAGTGACAAATGATCTATTCTACCTTTAACAAACCTGTTGGGCAATACAGGCAATATTGGGCAATTTTTGAAAGGCGGCCCGTTTTAAATACAAGAATTTTCTTTTTGTTTCCTTCCAGAACCAAAGCCTTAGTCTTGGAGCTTTTGGCAGCGGTCTGCCTGGTCAAGGGAGGACACGAGATAATCCTGGGTGCCTTCGACAACTTCAAATTGGTGAGTGACGACTTCGAAACCAGACTTACGAAATCCCATCCAGGAAAAAAAAAATTAATTTGAGGGGATGTCGGATTATGGCCGCTAAGCCATCAAAATAAGCAGCGCAGAACGAAGACTCGTAGATATCACTCTGGTTGTGTTCCGGAAGTGTTGATCTGAGATTGACATGTCTAAGCTCACAAAATAAATAAATCGGACCAGAATCTTGCATGTCGGTCTCAAATTTCAGGGTCTTTGTCCAAGATGAAAAATTAATTTGAAGAATTTGTGTGAGGGAGGTATTACCTGCTGAGTCAGAATAAACGGTGCAGATCCTGCAGACAAATGTTTTGGCAAAGCTTGATCCCTAAATCCGGGGAAATCCAAACTAAACTAATTGCGTGCTGTCATAAAAAAAACCTGACTTTGAGATTGAATGACGAGTTTTGATGTGTACTACAAAGAATCCTTGACGATATCAATTTTTGTTTTCATTGTTCATTTCAGGAGTGTAGCGAGCGGTATAGGTTTGAGAACCTGTTTCAGTACTTCCAGAAATACGAAGACACGAATATCGACTTCATGGTAAGCTTGATTGAAAACACCTCTACATTTTTTTTCCTTTTCAACCGTCTGTTCCCTCTTTCCAACTTTAATTTTCCTGCTGTCATCATGGAAATTGATTTTTGGAAATCGTTAGATGGGTTTTACTAAGGGAATAAATATGTGCTTGGCTGGTTTTTAACAAATATGCTTGAAACCTATTTATTCCCATTCATCAATACCTTCAGTCAAAAAGCCAAAACTAGTCAAAAAATATAAATTTCCAACGATTTTGTTGAACAATTTTACTTCATGTTTTGTGAAACACCCTTCTAGCAATTGTTATGGTTTGTGCCTCGCACGAGTAATACTAGAAATCTCCTTATATGGAGATTGGCGCGTGTGGCGCAGAATGCAGCGTTGCCAGAAAAAGTGTTGAAAAACCAGTCAGTGTTCTATTAACTTCAAAATACCCACAATCCTGGCTCTCGACCAATAGGAATGGGTAAAAACTGTCTTAGGTATTTATGAATGAAGTCTTTATAGATGTGTGTAGCATGGAACTTGAGGAATCTTCTTGAAAACTAACTTGGTTGATTCTGATCATCAGTTTGATTTTGTTTTAATTATCATAATTCTTGTAACAACTCTTTTGTCTGTGATTTTCATTTGATAGGTGGCGTGCATGCAGTTCATCAACATCGTTGTACATTCAGTGGAGGAGATGAACTTCCGATCGTATCTTCAGTTTGAGTTCACCAAGCTGGGACTGGACCGGTACTTGGAGGTGAGTTTAATACTCTGGTTCTTTGGGTTTTAGTTCTGGTTCCTTGTCAAGTGCCAATTTAGCCCTTGGTTCTTTTGTTTGGTTCTTATATTTACCATTTTCTTAAGGATTCTGCTGTGGTTCTTCCAAAAGTTTCTGATGTTGGTCTCAGATTTTTTTCTGACTATTTTTCTCATGATGTTTATAAATTTATCATGGTCCAAGTTCAGCGCAAGATCTGTTTTGTTTTTCATATTTTTCCATGGGTCTTGGGTCTAGGCCTACTTGATCTCTGGTTCTAGGTCTAGACCTAGCTCTGGTTCTAGCCCAAAGTTTAATCCTATATCTGGGTCTGGTTCTAAGTCCTGGTTCTGGTTGTAACACTAAGTTTTATCCCATTTCTGATTCCATGTTAAGTCCTAGTTCAGGTTCTAGCCTTCAGATTTTTTCCACATCTGGTTCTATTATTAATCCTAGTTCCAGTTCTAGTCCTAGTTCATGTTCTAGCCTTCAGTTTTATTCCCTATCTGGTTGTGGTATTAGTCCTAGTTCCAGTTCTAGTCCTAGTTCAGGTTCTAGCCTTCAGTTTCATTCCATATCTGGTTCTAATTTTAGTACTAGTTGCAGTTCTAGCTAAAAGTTTTATCCTATATTTCATTCCAGTTCAAGTCCTAGTTCAGGTTCTAGCCTTCAGATTTTTTCCACATCTGGTTCTATTATTAGTTCTAGTTCCAGTTCTAGTCCTAGTTCATGTTCTAGCCGTCAGTTTTATTCCATATCTCGTTCTAGTTTTAGTCCTAGTTCCAGTTCTAGCTAAAAGTTTTATCCCATATTTCATTCCAGTTTTAGTCCTAGTTCAGGTTTTAGCCTTCAGTTTTATTCCATATCTGGTTCTAGTTTTAGTATTGTTCCAGTTCTAGCCCCCCAGATCAAGTCCTAGTTCAGGTTCTGACCCACACGTCTTCCCTCCAATTCCCAGAAACTGAAGAACACGGAGAGTGACCGCCTCCACACCCAGATCCAGGCCTACCTGGATAACATGTTTGACGTCGGCCAGCTGATGGAGGACTCGGACACTAAGAACCTAGCACTCGAGAGAGTGGGACAGCTAGAAGAGAACCTCTACCAGGTAAAACAAAAATCCTTTATCCCGGGGTTTCCCGCAAAGTTTGTGTTCTCTATAAGTGATCCCCTTTTGCCATTTCCTACGTTTTTGATACCTCAGTTGGTTGAGCAACGGTAATCCGGAAGTTACAGGTTCAAATCTCACTCAAGTCAATTTCTTTGTTCAGCCTTAATTTGAACTTTATTTTGCTAAACAGCCAAACCAACAAATAACTTTTCTGTTGACTGTGCATCAATCATTTTTACTTATCAATTTTGTCGACCTCATCATTAAAAAAATTGGATTTTTCAGAAAACTTCTCACAGTTTTGGGATGTATGTTTTCTTGTTTATGTGTGATACCCCTGAGTATATAGAGTATAGGCTTACTGAGATGGCAGACCTAAAAGTACGTTAGACTAAATTTGTCCAATTTGTCTTACTTCTGTAGACGAACGAGCAGCTACGACAACAAGAAGACGCGTCTCTCTCCAGAATAGCTGAGTTGCAGCTGGAGCTTGCCTCGACCAGTAAAGACCTGGAATCGCTCAAGGTGCGTCTGGTACCAGATCATCTCAAAATCGACCATCATAGAAAGTTGTTGATCCGTATCAATGTCTGATTTGCTGTCTAGACGTTAACACAAGTTCCCCAGGCAATTTTTTTCCTCAGAATCCTTGAGAATCAACACTGCGCAGGAATCCAATTACACATTCTGTGCTCTTCAATCTCATTAGCCTTTAGTCAAGTCCCACGTGCTTACCCGGACACGTGACGCACCCTGGATGCTGACACATAAAAAGACTAGCACGAGTGGTGAAGCCGCGAGGGCCTTTACCATCTCGTGGAGAACCCTTATGTTTTTCTTTACATTTTGTCTACTGATTTGGTAGACATGCATAATGCATTACCCGTTGTGAATTGACCAATGAAAATGCAGAATTACTAATGTAAATCAGCCGTCATCGGGCGCCAGACAGCACGCGCGCCATGGCGCGTGTGCTGTTGCTGCTAACCGCAAACCACCGTTAGATGATTGGTTTATATTGCTTGATTTATATTACATGAATAAATGAATAAGTGATTAGTTCCACGAGATAGTAAAGGCCCTCGCAGCTTTGCCGCTCGTGCTAGTCTTTTTTACCTGCCAGCATCCGAGGTGCGTTACGTGTCCGGATGGTCCGGGTATAGGCGTGTGGGACTTGACTAAAGGCTACAATCTCATGAGAATTAACCCAACAAAAATGAAACAGAAAAGAAAATGACAACCACATGCAGACAAAAAAAATTACTAGAAGGGTTTGGAAGTGATGGCAGATACGAATTTGCTAATAAAAAGACCATAATTGTCTTCCTTATTTTGACAAAACCTGCAGCCTTTTGCAACTGGTGATGTACATTTTAAGAAGACAAAATTGCTGTTTATCAAATTAGGTTTTGCCCTTTACCGACGTTTAAACACTGTATACTCAGTGTGTTACCTCCCGAGTGAAAGTTGGAAAAATCACTCGGGTGGGACTCGAGCCCACGACCTCCTGCTTTCTAGTGCAGATGTCTTACCACTCGACCACCGAGCTAACGGGATCGGTTGGAAATTGCTGTTCTTGATATTTTGTTAATGCTCCACTGCACTTGTAAATAGAGGGTTGTGGGTTCGAACCCAAGCAATCCTGTGAAACTTTTATCCTTGCAAGTAAATATGTCGGGAATCTTCTCCAAAGGTTTAAATGTTCTGCTGCTTTTTAAAATTTGATCCGAAGACCCAGAAGAGAGAAGCCGATGTCACGATCGAGACGTTAAAACGGACGTCGATAGCCCGAGGGCCGGGGAGCGGTGGCGGGGGCGGGACCGGGGGCGGTGGCCCTGGGGGAGGCGGCCCTGGGGGAGGTGGTGGCCCTGGCGGAGGTGGACCTGGCGGGCCTGGTGGTGGCGGACCTGGTGGCGGAGGAGGCTTCGGACCCGGTGACGGACCCGGTGGGGGATTCCCCCCACCCCCAGATGACCGTAAGTAGACACGGACGTTCTGAATTCGCTGAGATGGTCTTTTGCTCTTAGCTCTTTGAAAGTAACGATTACTTTTACCAGAGTAACTTCAAATGATCAGTTTTAAGACTATGTCAGTGTTTTGAACTTAAAGGGAATATACATCATTTGCTTTTGCTGTAATTTTCAGAAATGGATGGAATTGGGGGGTTGGAAATATATAGCAAATATAGTTACACTGACATTTTGAGGTTTTGGGTTCGAAAATGCTATAAAAAGCAAGTAAAACGATCATTTTCCTGTAGTCTGGTTCCCTGACTCCATATAAGAAGAAACAGAGCAGTTTACATACATTGGGGAATTGTAAGGTCAGGGAACCAGTCTAGCTGGCTCGTACCCGTTCATAGGTTTGTAATCGATTGCAAACAAGTGCGATGGTCAATTAGGGCCAGTATTTGAAAAAAAGCCAGTTGTTTCCAACGTTGATCGGCCGATCAGCGTTGGAAATTGATACAAAAATACCACTTTTCTTGAAAATGACAGTATACCAGGTGCCATGATTTTACAGGATGCTTTACACTGTCATTCACTAACAGTCCAGCAAGGTTTTCAAAATGATTTGGTTCTTTTATTTTTTGATGTTTGCAAATGTTGTATTTTCCCTTTAAGTTGGAAGTGAGCCATTGAAAATTATTATTGATCATTTTATGATCATTCTAGTGTGTTGAACTGTTACCAAATTGTAAAAAAAAAAAAAAATTCGGCCCAATGGAATATCAGCCAATTGACTTAATTGTTCAACTCGTTTTCTCATTTTTCTTTTACAGTACCCCCACCCCCTCCTCCCCCACCCCCTCCCCCTCCCAGTGCAGTTCCCCCACCCCCTCCCCCACCCCCAATGTTTGGTGTGCCCCCACCCCCACCCCCTCCTGGAGCACCCCCACCTCCTGGTGGTATCTTCGGAGCGGCACCCGATGGCTGTAAGTTCTTCTATCTTTGTTGTTGTTTACCTTGTGTGTGTTGTTTACGTTATTGTCAGTTTCTGACACTGATAAATTTGATTTTGTTCACGTAAATCAAAATTACGGCATTCATCCTCCTCTTTTAAAGCCTGTTCATTCTTAGAGCAAATTTAAAGGTTAAAATAAATGTTACAGTGAAATTACATTTGTAATGCAATCAAGCTAAATGAGTTGTTTGTCGGGAATTTTCATTTGGAGATTCAGGCCAAAATAGGGCCACTTCATCACATCACCTCATCACATCTCTTGGTGTTCAACTTCCATAATTTATTAACTAAAGATGGTATCAGCATGCATTTTTCACAGCAGTAATGCTGAGATTGTGCTCTTTTCAAATGTGTAATAAAAAAAATTGGACCGTGGTCGACAAATGACTCATGTAGCTTGATCGCATCACATTTGTTGACATCAAAAATTGCATTTCTTTCACTTTCACTGTAGACTGAAACTTGTTCTATTTTCCCCATTTCTTGTACTTCCCTAATAACGGCAAACAAAATTTGGTTTCAGCTGTGACCATAAAAGGCAAGATCCGAACCAAATATCGTCTCCCGCTCCTCAACTGGGTCGCCTTCAAGCCCAACCAGATCGGGGGCACGGTCTTCAGTGAACTCGACGACACCAAAGTCATGAAGGTGGGTAGGAGGCAGTAACTAAAGGTTGCAGACCAGTAAATAAACTGCCGTAGACCCCAACGATAATTGCCCCCACTTCAAAAATTCAGGAAAAATACTCACAACTCTCCAAGGTATTCGAGACACACATCAAATTAAAGCTAATTTTATCATCTTTCATTTTCTTTTCAATTTTCGGGGGTTAACTAATGACTTTTAGGAGAAATTTCCATCCGAAGATGATCACCCCTTAAAGTGGTCCTGAAGACCATCGCCATTGGAAAACCGACGCCTGCACTCTATGGCAAATAGAGCGCTTTTAGGGCTCCAATTTCATCCAAATTGCACAGAACTACAAGCTCACAGTCCTGTGCACGGCTTCCACCCATATTTTAACAAACCCTCAAGTTCATGGCCCACAATATGCTCAAATAACGAAGAATTTGAGGGCATGCAAATCGTGATTTGGCCGGCGTAGGCGATTTTGGACCGATTTACTGGCCTGCAACCTTTAAATCCCCACGCTGCTGTGTAGAGCACTGTGCTTGCAGTAAAGTGTATTGCCCAAGGACAACATGTTTCATTGACTCTGTTCAAATCTCAAGTCTGAAGACTTTTCAATACCGCCTTTGAAATGACTGAAATGAACTTTTGAAATCATTCACTCTTTTCTCTTATCTCCCGCAGGACATCAACTTTGAGAATTTCGAAGAGATGTTCAAGACTCAGAACCAGTCCGCTGGCAACTTCACAGCCAAGGACGGGCCCAAGAAGTCCCCCTCCAAGAAGAAGCAACAGTCTCTCTTGGATCCCAACAGACTGCAGAACATCTCCATCATGAGGCGCAAGATTGAGCTGACTGTCAAGCAGATCGTAGAGGCTATCAAAAAGTAAGGGTTTTCTTCACCCAAATACTGTGTCAATCATAAGTCAGTCACAAGGCAGTCACAAGGCTGTCACAAGGCAGTCACAAGGCTGTCATAAGGCAGTCACAAGGCTGTCACAAGGCAGTCACAAGGCTGTCACAAGGCTGTCACAAGGCAGTCACAAAGCTGTCACAAGGCAGTCACAGGGCAGTCACAAGGCTGTCACAAGGCAGTCACAAGGTTGTCATAAGTTAAATCACAAGTCAATCACGATTCGATGATAAGTCAATCACAACTAAATCACAAGTTCATCACAAAGCCACCAGAAGACAAAATGACAAGACCAATTTACAAGTCATATCACAAGACATATTACAATTCCAATAAATCTCCTTAACCCTCCTATGCAAACATACATTCTGTGCCAAGTTGTCCTTGCTGTCCAAATCAATCAGGTAACTGTTTTCAACCCGTAAGGGGCCCAGCCCACATAAAGCAGGATTGACTGCCTTGGACTGTTTAAGTAACTTGATACAGCTATGCTTTGACTCCGGGTGAGTGATAAAACAGCTGTGACCACAACTTGCCTGTTTTGTCTGTTGACCCAGTTTGACTAGACAAAGTACTTGCTTGACATACGATCTGACTGCTGGTGACTAGCCTTTGTTAAAAGTATAGCTTGGGAAGTGGAAGTGAATTTTGACTGTCCGTGACTGCTTAAATAGCAGGAGGGTTAATGTAGAGAGGTAAATAAGGGTAAAGTAGCTTGCCTGAGGACACATCATTGCTAGACTATAATGCCTGACTCCAGTGACGAATCCCACTCCTAACCTCAGAACCACTTCCCCCTCCAAAAAGAAAATTTGTCTTAAAAAAATATATAATTTGCAGGCTCAAATTTTAAAAAAAAAATTTTGCCCAGGTTGGATCTGAACCTGTTGGAACTGGACACCGTAGAGCAACTCCAGCGATTCTTGCCCAATGACGGCGAGGTCAAAGTCTTCAAACAGTACGAAAAAGACAAGAAACCTATCGAGCAACTGACAGAAGAAGATAGGCTGATGATCAGCGTAAGTGAAAACAAACGACCTAGTTAGCGAAAATTGGTAACCAGCTAAAATGGCATGTATTGTGCATTACTGCGGACTGGTTCCCATACGGCTTTCGCTCAGTTTGAAAAATTGCCTCATGATTCGTGTAAGGTTGTGTCCGAAACGGGCTTCCAGAGCTACAGCTACGTCTATTGTCAGTGCCTCCACGCGTATTTTCAACAGGCGCAGACCTAGACCTGATTCGGATGCAGCCTAAGTTAAAAAATTAACAAGTTTTACTTAAATATTGGTTACCAGCTAGAATGGCATGTATTGTTCAGTACTGTTGACTGGTTCCCACACGACTTTTGTTTAGTACAAAACTTTGCCTCATCCAAAAAATTTGAACTGAAATTATTTTTTTTAAACCCATTTAACTTCTTACTGTTTCTTTTATTATAAAACTCATCTGTTTATGGGTTTTTCCACTGTCTAACTTTAATAATCTTACCATTTTTTTCTCCACAGTTGTCCAAAGTGGAGAGACTGTCCGACCGTCTTGCCATCATGAGTTTCATGGGCAACTTTGACGACACGATTAAGGCCATCAAACCAGTAAGATGCTAATCTGTCATCCCAAATTAAGTTTCAAACTAGGTTTTGCCCTTCACCGACGTATAAACACTGTATACTCAGTGTGTTACCTCCCGAGTGAAAAGTTGGACAAAATCACTCGGGTGGGACTCGAACCAACGACCTCCTGCTTTGTAGTGCAGACGTCTTACCACTCGACCACCGAGCTAACGGGATCGGTTGGCTGGTTCGAATCTGATGTACATAGCAGCGGGTACTGCATAACTATTCATATTAAAGATGGAATTTTGCGTCGGGGTGATGTAAATCAAACTAGGTTTTGCCATTCATTAAATTAAATTTGTTTAGAGTAAACCTATTTGTTCTCAAAGATGTAACTTACGTTGTGCAGTAACTAAACTATGTATCTTTGTTACCAAATCTGACATAGTAAATCAATACTCCAAAGACAAATTTCTACAATTTCAAAACTACTTTCAGAGAGTCAGTAAATTAAGCTGTAAAAATACCCTGTAAATTGCTCAAGCTTTTGTCTTCTCAGGATTAAAGAAATCCACAAAATACACAACCATTTCTTATTCAATTCACTTTTTAACGATTCCTTTCCGTCAGCAACTGAATGCCATAACGTCGGCCTCACTCACTATCAAGACCTCCGCCCGGCTCAAGAAGATCTTGGAGATTGTCTTAGCGTTTGGCAACTACTTGAACAGCGCTAAGCGAGGAGCAGCCTATGGGTTCAAGCTGCAGAGTCTGGACACGGTAAGCACAAAAAAAAACAAAAAAAACATCAAGAAATTTTTAAGCAGAAAAATATTACTTAGCATATTTTTCTGATCAGTAAACAATCGGTGGAGTACCAGTCACACACACTACACATTGCTTTTGCCGGTTACCTGCTTTTGCTAAGCGTATATTTTCTGTGCTTAGCAAATTTAGAACTTATGTCCAGAAGCAGGATATTTTACCCCAATTGATTTTGTCAACAGGAGCAAAGTTGTGTCTACGGAACTTTGTAAGCATGCCCTACAGTTTTTTTTGTTTTTTTTTCTTCCCCTTCTTAATTTCACGGAATCTTGCCTCACATTTTGACTTCTGTTTGATAATTGATATCTGTATTTCTATAATTTCTTGGCTTTTGTTTCAGTTACTGGATACCAAGTCCACTGACCGGTCTATGACCCTACTGCACTACATCGTGGAGACGGTTCATCAAAAGTTCCCCGGTACGTCAGATTTTTGCTTGGATCTACAGTACGTTGAAAAGGCAGCTGCAGGTAGGAAAAACCCTTGGTTTTTAGTTTTTCATTGTTAAAGGGAATGTACATCATTGGCTTTTGCTGTAATTTTCAGAAATTAACTATTTGAGGGGTTAGTATAATAGATCAAATATTGTTACACTGACATGTTTAGAGGTTTTGTGTTGAAAATGCTGGCAAAACGAAGAAAAACAAAACTGTTCAAGTAGTCTGGTTCCCTGACTCCACTAAATATAAAATGGATCAATTTACAGATGCCGGAAAATTGTACGGTAAGGGAACCAGTCTAGCTGGCCTGCACCCGTTCATGAACATGTAACCAATAGCAAACAAAATTTGGACTGAACAAAATTGTAAATTTGGAGCAGTAGTTGAAAAATAGTTAGGTTTTTCCAACGGTGGTCGGCCGACCATTGTTGGAAATGTATACAAAAATACCATTTTCTTGAAAAGGACTTCACACCAGGTGCCATAATTTTACAGGATGCTTTAGACTGTCATTTACCAACATCCTTGTAAGGTATTTCGTAAACACTTGGTAGTTTTTTTTTGATGTTTGCAAATGTTGTATATTCCCTTTAAAGGTAATATACAACATTTACAAACTTCAGAAAACAAAACTACCAAACTGTTATGAAGTACCTTACTTGACTGTAAGAGAACAATAGTCCCAAGCATCCTGTGAAATCATGGCATCTGGTGTGCTGCTATTTTGAGAAAAGTGAAAGCGTTGCATCAATTTCCAACAGTGGTCGGCCGACCATCTTTGTGTCACTAGGATAGGTATGAGTTAACTGCACTCAGCTCCCATTCAGCTGTCCAACTTTCAAAGACTCGTTTTGAGTTTGCAAATTACTTTCAGACCTTTTAAAATTCCAGTCTTTTCATAATCTCCGTAGTTTCGTTGGAGAACCTGGTGATAGATATCAGGCAGTTGACGTCGGGCATCCAGCTCAGCAAGCGAGAGTTTGCCCAGCAGCACGACAACTCGATCCTGAGAGATTTCCTCCTGGCAAATGAAGACAAAGTCAAGAAGGTCGACAGCGACATGAAGAAAGCAGAGGTAAACATATGCTCTCCGTACTATTTTTTGGGAGTGGCACCCCTGAAACTAAAGTTATCAAATTCGTAAATACGCTAAGAATGTTTACTAACTCAGCAGATTTGTGGCATTGAACCAATTGTATAATATGCAGATCATGGTAACCGGTGTAGCGTGAACTTAGGTTTCTGTGAAATACGGACTCATTGGTAGTATTGCGCATTCCTTAGCGAAGATAATTAGGAGAGTGACCGGTCTTGTGAGAGGGTTTAACCAATAAAAGGGTGAAGGAGTCAGATTTTCATAGAAGTCTGATTTTCATGTGACACCGGACCTTCTAAGCAGTATTTTTTCGGTTAAAAAACTCCTAAGCAATATTTTATTCCGTTAAGCAGGTTTGAGAAAAAGGCTTGATTCTAATTTTGAAATTATTTCTTAAGATTATTTAAATAAAATGTAAAAAAAAGCAGGAATTTATAACATATAATTTTTAATCAAAAATTTCAAAAAGGAAGTGTCTGATTGGTTCTTTGGAATGGTTGCTATGTTCTTGTTGCTAGGAGGCCTACAATGAAGCGGTCGGTTACTACGGCGAAAAACCCAAGATGTGCCCGCCCAGCACGTTCTTCTCCCTCTTCCAGCGTTTTGTCAACGCTTACAAGGTAAATCTTCGTTGTCCCTGTCGTCAAAATTGCATAATTGTCAGGGATGGTGAAAATGCAGGATTTAGTTGTGGAGAGTTGGAGAGTTCGAGTCCAAATTTTACATTGAAATTTATTTTTTGGAAATCATTGCAAGATTTAAAAGTCATTTATTTTGTGATTTCATAACAGAAAGCAGAAGCAGATAACGAGCATCGGAAAAAGCAAAAGGTAAAATGGCAACCACACTTCAAAACAAGAAATACTTACTTGAAATTATATAGTTAATAATTCATTATTTTTTTTTGGGGGGGGGGGTGGTTTCTTGTCAGTCTTAGTGTAACATTACTTTTACATGAGACAACTGTTCCTAAGTTACATTTTGTTTGCTGTTTTTAACATTAATGTGACCAGCTCCACAAAAAATGGTATAAAGTCGCGCTGAGCATTATTGTGTAATGGCCAACATTGAGAGGGTGAACATTTTATCAAAATATGATTTTCATTTTTGTCATGAATGCCATCTTTAATACCTACAGTTTCAGATTTCATTCACAGAAAAGTTGATTCTGAAGAGTTACATTTTGTTAGCTGTTTTAACCACATAAATGTGACCGGCTCCACAAAATAGGATATTAAGTCGCGCTGAGCATTATTGTGTAATGACCCGCTCAACATTGAGAAGGTGAACATTTTGTCAAAATATGATTTCATTTTTTTGTCGTGAATGACATCTTTAATACCTACAGTTTCAGGTTTCATTCACAGAAAAGTTGGTTCTGATGAATAAAAAGGGAAAACCAACCATTTTGTGTGCGTCGTTCTGTTGTTCTACAACAAAGGCAGCTATTTCAAAGCCTGTTTCTCAGTTGTGTAATTTGAACTCCAAGGATTTAATCAATACAAATACGTCATGTCTCCAGAACGAGAGGGGCTATGGAGCTCTATTATACACCAAATGAAAGCTTACACTGTGGGCTTTCCAAACATGTATATGACTCAATTTCACCTTTTTGCGACATAATACCCTTTTTGTGGAGCCGGTCACAAATGTCATTTTTATTTTTTTGTTTTGTTCAAATTTGAAAGGGAAATTGAGGGTTATAAGTATTTGATCAGAATGTTTATTTATGCCAATTGTTTTCTTTATTCCACAATGTAGGAGGCTGCTTTGGAGACAGCCGCAAACATTGAGGCGGCAAGAAGTCTCGCAAGCAGAAAGATCAGAAAAAGGTCAATCAGGTATGAGACAGACCGCTAGAGGGCGCTGTTTGCTCTGTCCCTCTCCAATTATAAAAACTAACTCGTTATAAATCCATTTGGCCACAAAACCAATTATTTAAGTGTACTGTATGCCATATTTATGCACAGGTCACACACACATGCTCAATGCCACTTCGATTGCCAAGGTATTTCACAAATTGCTTAAAGACGGATGCTTTGTGCTCTTTGAAGAATGGATGTTTTTCTCCTAACGACTTTTCATTTGTATGTATGTTCTAACAAAAAAAAACCCACTTTATTCCGATTTTGGGTGTCGGCAACCCTCTGAAAAAGGAAGATCATTTGCGCACAAATTAATCACCCTGCGAGAGCTGAATTATTGTCCGGTAGCCAATAATTCCATTTTTTCTGGGAAATAATTCAATCAATATCGGTGGATGTTTTTCGGTCGATGTCTCATTCAAAAGTGAATAACTTTTATATTTCTTAGGAAAAAGCAATCGATAAAAACAAATCTATTTTGGAGGTAAAAAAAGCGGGGAATGCATCTTTAACATGGGTGTGGCTTCTTGATTAGTCTTTAAGTAGCTGTTAGTCGTCTTGAAAGCAGTCTAGCTTTACAGTACTCATCATCAGTTAAAGGTGCAGTCTCATTCACGAAGAAAATTTCCCAGCTACGAGCGTACTTCTAATTTATGGCCTGCAGTCAATTAACTTTTCATCACAAATGTTACTTTGAATTACTGGTTTTCAAATCTCATCCTTGATTGTTCTTTTATATTTGTTATCGGCAGGACGCCATGGTGCTTGAGCTGCAGAAGAAACACAGGAACCACCAGGACAAGAGGCGAGAAGCTTCAGACGGAGCCATAGAAAATATCATCTCAGGTACAGAAACAACCTTTTTTTTTTAAGACGACAAAACTCATGTTTGATAGTCTGATGCTCATCTTTTTTGCTAATAAAGTGACAAATAATACACACATATGAAAAGTACTCATGTACAGTATGTCCCAGAAAAGTGTCCGTCTAACTACTTTTGAAATAACTACAAACCCGTGAAGTCAATTTGAAAATGTTTTATTGTGTTGATACTCCTTATCCTTGACCTAAACCCTATGAGTTTAATTTAATTTCAGTCACGCATCACTGCACAATAGTCAATTGATCACAACATTTTTGGACCTGTGACAAGTTCCTTGCCTTAATCAATTTTAGTGCTGCGTTATGTAAGCTGCGTAAAATCCTACATGTTGTGAAAAAAAAGGCTGATGTGGTTTGGGATTGGAATCATTGCCCTTGAGCATAAACTGAGGTCTTGCCATGATGACTGATAGCCAGGCAAATGATTCCAATCCCAACCGCAGCCCTTTTCACAACATGCAGGATTTTACACAGCTTACATAACACAGCACTGAAATTGATTAAGGCAAGGAACTTGGTCACAGTGTCCAAAAATGTTGTTGTGATCAATTGATAATTGTGTGGTGATCCATGCCTGAAATTAAATGAAACTCATAGGGGTTTAGGTCAAGGATAACACAATCAAAACATTTCAAAATTGACTTCATGGTTTTGTAGTTACTTCAAAAATAGTCAGATGGACACTTTTTGGGGGCATACTGTAGAGGTCTTTGCTGTCTGTACTGTCACCAAACAATTGTGACAAAGTGTCATGCCCAAGGACAAGGTCAGTAACTCTTGTGTATTGGTTGTGAGAGTTATCCTCTGTTTTTTTTATTAACGTCGGGTCTCAGTTTTGAAGATTTTCTGTCCTTGTTTTGCAGATTTGAAAAATGAGCCTTACAGAAGGGCGGACGGGATCCGACGCAGTCTGCGGCGGAAGCAGCAGGAAAACCTACGGCCTACAATCCTCTCCAATGAAATGGTCATCTGAATCAGCTTTGGCATGAAGAGGTCCAAGATGAAATACCCCGGGCAGAAATAGGTCGAGATCCCCTCCCACCCCCCCACCCACCCCCCCACCCCCCCACCCCCACTTGCCACAAAGTTTCCTATATTATCTGTCCCAGATGACTTGATGGGTGTAGTGCATTGAACTGGACCGCTTCAAGTTCCATTTGTAAATATGAGGGCTCCCCTGATCTTTTTGTAATAATTACGAGAAACTGACTCTGTGATATTAAACAAAACAAGGAGGATTTACTTCATCCAAGAATGTGAATAGGTGGAGCTCCCCTCGCATCAAAGTGCCATATTAAAAGAAAGTGAATTGTTACTTTTTTTGTAAATAGTAATTGTTCATTACTTTTTTATAGTTTAAGACTTGAAAGGATTGAGCTTCCCCTGTGAGGGGTGCTACCCCTAAAACCAATTATAAAGAGGCATTTAAATAATCAACACAGCAAAACGGAATGGTATTTACTCTGAAGCTCGCCCAAGAAAGAATAGGACAGGCACCCATTTAAAATGTTATGATTTTTTGTAGCTCATTTGTTATGCAGATGTAATTTTTAAAAAGGCTTTGATGAACTTAAAATGCTTTTCCGTTCACAGATTTTTGAAGTCTTTGCCAAAAAATATGCCAGTTTTTGTAAGAAAAAAAAGATCTTTTGAAATATTCAGATAGTATTTGCTCTTAATAGACTTCTGTGTAAGGACGGGAAATCAGATTTTGACAAGACGCAAGTGCCAGGAAACATCCACCTTTTGCATTTTTATTTTCTCCTTGGATGTTAAGTATCCCTTTCACCCAAAAGTTTTTGGATTTCTATTTTCTTCGAAGTACCACTTAAAATTTCTTGACATTTGTGATCTACTGGTTAAAATACCAAACCACAGTGGTTTTCTGTGATAGTCTTCAATCTCTGGAGAGAACTTACTTGAGAAAACCCTGTTGAAAAATAAAATATGATAATGATGCCAAAAAATCCCCCAAAATTTTCAAAACAGTTGAACTACAATAAAGTGCCTGTTATGTCGTAACATTTTTACCCACGAAGTTGAACCTTCTAACGACATTATTGCAAATACAAGTTCAAGGAAAAAACAAATTGCATTGAAATTGTTTATGTACGTTTATCCCACTGATAGTAGTTTTTCTCCATTCTTTTGGAGCTTTTTGGAGCTTTTTGAAACTTGCGAACAATACATGGACATTGTACAAAATTTAAGTATGTTTCATATTGTAAATTATTTTTTAAAAACCATTTACCATTAAGCATTTTTTATTTGCGCATTTTAAAAGTCAACTGTTTGAACTATTGTTTTTTTATTAATTTGAAATGTTTCTTAACTTTTGTAAATCAATTTTTTTTACATCAACAATGTGCAACTATCTGGCATGAGCTTCCATATTTTGTATGGTGGTGGGAACATAGTATAACTTTTAAGCCAATCCAGAGCAACCATTTACGTCACGTGATGTCAGATAAGCCAATCATATTGCCTGTTTTATAGCCTTAGGTTCTGAGACTCTGTCCATCCACAATAAGGACACAATTCAGGATCACATGGTGTCAGAGTAGCCAATCAATTGTCATTTCTTTTAAACTTTTAGGGGGAAAAAAATTAAGCTGAGCCTGAAATTAATTTCTCAGAGAAGAAAAAGTCTGAAGACAGAACCAATGGATATTGCTACCGATATGCAAAAAAGTGAAATACGTTGTAAAGTAAATGAAGTAATGTATATTTTTTATCAAAATTACAACTTTTAGTGTTTTACTTGTACATTCTAGTAATTCTTATGTTTTCTTAGATAAACTTCCTCAGTCTGGGGTGATTCTGTTCACACTTTTATTCTCATTATAGTCACCCTTTTGAAAATTCATCCTTTCCTTTTTTTCTCCTACACTTGGTATCAGTACTGGGCCTCAACATTTTGAAAGGGATCACAGGGCATTTGTTAATGTTGTTTTATTCAATATTTGTTTTTAGACAGTAATTTGGTGAGATTTTCTGGTCTTTGGTGTCGCTAGTAACTGATCTTTGACAATTACCTAAACAAGTAATATTTAACCAAACGAATCAACTGCTGGTTTTTTTTACATTTTTTTTTTACATTGAATGCAAAGTAATAAAATGTCTCAATTTGTATGGTCAGAAATGTGAATAGCGCCCTCTGTTGACCTTAGAGTCAAGTCGTTTGAACTTCGCCAAGTTGAACTAAACCAAATGTCACGCATTTATTATGGGCACCCGAGATACAAATGCGTTGCAGAAGTAAAGAAATAAACAAAATTGACAGGTATTTGTCTTGCTTCCGTGTAAGAATTAGGTCCTATTTGAAGGTTAGGTTTTCACAGAGTTTGAGACAAACATTTTCCGCAAAGCATTACACAGTGGTGGCGCCAATATTTATCACGTATTATTTATATGGGTGTCGGACGCTTCGCCCCATTTCCACTTTGCCCCATGTCACTTCGCCCCTAACCACTTCGCCCCATCCCCACCGGCCCCATCCCTACTTCGCCATTTCCACTTCGCCCCATCCCCACTTCGCCCCATCCCCACTTCGCCCCATCCCCACTTCGCCCCATCCCCACTTCGCCCATCCCACTTCGCCCCAGCGTTACATGTAAAAAAAAAAAAAAAATCTCATCTATTTATTGGCATAACAACAATCCCAAAAGATTCACTAATTGCTGCTGCGAAAATCATTGACTGATATCTGCTTGGTGTCATCGAATGAGCATTTTCTTTCAGTCCCCTCAACCATGGAGCTACTAGCCCGACTGCGTCTGGCCGTACAGTACTATCGCAAGCTCTGTAGTACGGCCAGACGCCCGATGCTTCCAAAAAGACTGAATTTTGTTGGCCGCCGATGTAGCGATTTTGCTACATCTTTCGATCGCGATTATCTTTTCATCCAGGACACAAATTTCCAAAGTTAAGGTTCGTAGTCGTAGAGCAACTCATACCTTTTCGAAAAAAACGTTCTTTGGTCTCAATATTTTCATCCATCTGGCCACAAGACGAATTTCAGTCATCAGATTCCACAAATATCGTCCCCCATGCGATCCCCATGCGATTTCAAAATGGCGCCGCGCGGTAATGTATGCAATATGCAGGCGCGCCCGCGCAAATCATGAATATGCATAAACAGTCTGTGACGTATGACCTCGTGACGTAGGCCCCGCACGGGGCCGCACGCACGTCCAAAAACACGAGGTCATACGTCACAGACTGTTTATGCATATTCATGAGTTTGCGCGGGCGCGCCTGCATATTGCATACATTACAGCGCGGCCGCCATTTTGAAATCGCATGGGGGATCGCATGGGGGACGATATTTGTGGAATCTGATGACTGAAATTCGTCTTGTGGCCAGATGGATGAAAATATTGAGACCAAAGAACGTTTTTCGAAAAGGTATGAGTTGCTCTACGACTACGAACCTTAACTTTGGAAATTTGTGTCCTGGATGAAAAGATAATTGCGATCGAAAGATGTAGCAAAATCGCTACATCGGCGGCCAACAAAATTCAGTCTTTTGGAAGCATCGGGCGTCTGGCCGTACTACAGAGCTTGCGATAGTACTGTACGGCCAGACGCAGTCGGGCTAGGAGCTCCAGGTTGAGGGGGACTGGAAAGAAAATGCTCATTCGATGACACCAAGCAGATATCAGTCAATGATTTTCGCAGCAGCAATTAGTGAATCTTTTGGGATTGTTGTTATGCCAATAAAATAGATGAGATTTTTTTTTTTTTTTACATGTAACGGCTGGGCGAAGTGGGGATGGGCTACGAAGTGGGGATGGGCGAAGTGGGGATGGGGCGAAGTGGGGATGGGGGACATTGGGGATGGGGCGAAGTGGGAATGGTGCGAAGTAGGGATGGGGCCGCGTGGGGATGGGCGAAGTGGTTAGGGGCGAAGTGACATGGGGCAAAGTGGAAATGGGGCGAAGCGTCCGACACCCATATAAATAATACGTGATAAATATTGGCGGCCACCACTGTGTAATGCTTTGCGGAAAATGTTTGTCTCAAACTCTGTGAAAACCTAACCTTCAAATAGGACCTAATTCTTACACGGAAGCAAGACAAAATACCTGTCAATTTTGTTTATTTCTTACTTCTGCAACGCATTTGTATCTCGGGTGCCCATAATAAAATGCGTGACATTTGGTTTAGTTCAACTTGGCGAAGTTCAAACGACTTGACTCTAAGGTCAACAGAGGGCGCTATTCACAATTTCTGACCATACAAATTGAGACATTTTATTACTTTGCATTCAATGTAAAAAAAAAAAATGTAAAAAAAAACCAGCAGTTGATTCGTTTGGTTAAATATTACTTGTTTAGGTAATTGTCAAAGATCAGTTACTAGCGACACCAAAGACCAGAAAATCTCACCAAATTACTGTCTAAAAACAAATATTGAATAAAACAACATTAACAAATGCCCTGTGATCCCTTTCAAAATGTTGAGGCCCAGTACTGATACCAAGTGTAGGAGAAAAAAAGGAAAAGGATGAATTTCAAAAGGGTGACTATAATGAGAATAAAAGTTGTGAACAGAATCACCCCAGACTGAGGAAGTTTATCTAAGAAAAAAATAAGAATACTAGAATGTACAAGTAAAACACACTAAAAGTTGTAATTTTGATAAAAAATATACATTTACTTTCAATTTACAACGTATTTCACTTTTTTGCATATCGGTAGCAATATCCATTGGTTCTGTCTTCAGACTTTTTCTTCTCTGAGAAATTAATTTCAGGCTCAGCTTATTTTTTTCCCCCTAAAAGTTTAAAAGAAATGACAATTGATTGGCTACTCTGACACCATGTGATCCTGAATTGTGTCTTATTGGTGGATGGACAGAGTCTCAGAACCTAAGGCTATAAAACAGGCAATATGATTGGCTTATCTGACATCACGTGACGTAAATGGTTGCTCTGGATTGGCTTAAAAGTTATACTATGTTCCCACCACCATACAAAATATGGAAGCTCATGCCAGATAGTTGCACATTGTGATGTAAAAAAAAATTGATTTACAAAAGTTAAGAAACATTTCAAATTAATAAAAAAACAAATAGTTCAAAACAGTTGACTTTTAAAATGCGCAAATAAAAATGCTTAATGGTAAATGGTTTTTAAAAAATAATTTACAATATGAAAACATACTTAAATTTTTGTACAATGTCCATGTATTGTTCGCAAGTTTCAAAAAGCTCCAAAAAGCTCCAAAAAGAATGGAGAAAAACTACTATCAGTGGGATAAACGTACATAAACAATTTCAATGCAATTTGTTTTTCACTTGAACTTGTATTTGCAATAATGTCGTTAGAAGGTTCAACTTCGTGGGTAAAAATGTTACGACATAACAGGCACTTTATTGTAGTTCAACTGTTTTGAAAATTTTGGGGGATTTTTGGCATCATTATCATATTTTATTTTTCAACAGGGTTTTCTCAAGTAAGTTCTCTCCAGAGATTGAAGACTATCACAGAAAACCACTGTGGTTTGGTATTTTAACCAGTAGATCACAAATGTCAAGAAATTTTAAGTGGTACTTCGAAGAAGAAATATAGAAATCCAAAAACTTTTGGGTGAAAGGGATACTTAACATCCAAGGAGAAAATAAAAATGCAAAAGGTGGATGTTTCCTGGCACTTGCGTCTTGTCAAAATCTGATTTCCCGTCCTTACACAGAAGTCTATTAAGAGCAAATACTATCTGAATATTTCAAAAGATCTTTTTTTCTTACAAAAACTGGCATATTTTTGGCAAAGACTTCAAAAATCTGTGAACGGAAAAGCATTTTAAGTTCATCAAAGCCTTTTTAAAAATTACATCTGCATAACAAATGAGCTACAAAAAATCATAACATTTTAAATGGGGTGCCTGTCCTATTCTTTCTTGGGCGAGCTTCAGAGTAAATACCATTCCGTTTTGCTGTGTTGATTATTTAAATGCCTCTTTATAATTGGTTTTAGGGGTAGCACCCCTCACAGGGGAAGCTCAATCCTTTCAAGTCTTAAACTATAAAAAAGTAATGAACAATTACTATTTACAAAAAAAGTAACAATTCACTTTCTTTTAATATGGCACTTTGATGCGAGGGGAGCTCCACCTATTCACATTCTTGGATGAAGTAAATCCTCCTTGTTTTGTTTAAATATCACAGAGTCAGTTCTCGTAATTATTACAAAAAGATCAGGGGAGCCCCTCATATTTACAAATGGAACTTGAAGCGGTCCAGTTCAATGCACTACACCCATCAAGTCATCTGGGACAGATAATATAGGAAACTTTGTGGCAAGTGGGGGTGGGGGGGTGGGGGGGTGGGTGGGGGGGGGTGGGAGGGGATCTCGACCTATTTCTGCCCGGGGTATTTCATCTTGGACCTCTTCATGCCAAAGCTGATTCAGATGACCATTTCATTGGAGAGGATTGTAGGCCGTAGGTTTCCTGCTGCTTCCGCCGCAGACTGCGTCGGATCCCGTCCGCCCTTCTGTAAGGCTCATTTTTCAAATCTGCAAAAACAAGGACAGAAAATCTTCAAAACTGAGACCCGACGTTAATAAAAAAACAGAGGATAACTCTCACAAACCAATACACAAGAGTTACTGACCTTGTCCTTGGGCATGACACTTTGTCACAATTGTTTGGTGACAGTACAGACAGCAAAGACCTCTACAGTATGCCCCCCAAAAAGTGTCCATCTGACTATTTTTGAAGTAACTACAAAACCATGAAGTCAATTTTGAAATGTTTTGATTGTGTTATCCTTGACCTAAACCCCTATGAGTTTCATTTAATTTCAGGCATGGATCACCACACAATTATCAATTGATCACAACAACATTTTTGGACACTGTGACCAAGTTCCTTGCCTTAATCAATTTCAGTGCTGTGTTATGTAAGCTGTGTAAAATCCTGCATGTTGTGAAAAGGGCTGCGGTTGGGATTGGAATCATTTGCCTGGCTATCAGTCATCATGGCAAGACCTCAGTTTAATGCTCAAGGGCAAATGATTCCAATCCCAAACCACATCAGCCTTTTTTTCACAACATGTAGGATTTTACGCAGCTTACATAACGCAGCACTAAAATTGATTAAGGCAAGGAACTTGTCACAGGGTCCAAAAATGTTGTGATCAATTGACTATTGTGCAGTGATGCGTGACTGAAATTAAATTAAACTCATAGGGGTTTAGGTCAAGGATAAGGAGTATCAACACAATAAAACATTTTCAAAATTGACTTCACGGGTTTGTAGTTATTTCAAAAGTAGTTAGACGGACACTTTTCTGGGACATACTGTACATGAGTACTTTTCATATGTGTGTATTATTTGTCACTTTATTAGCAAAAAAGAATGAGCATCAGACTATCAAACATGAGTTTTGTCGTCTTAAAAAAAAAAGGTTGTTTCTGTACCTGAGATGATATTTTCTATGGCTCCGTCTGAAGCTTCTCGCCTCTTGTCCTGGTGGTTCCTGTGTTTCTTCTGCAGCTCAAGCACCATGGCGTCCTGCCGATAACAAATATAAAAGAACAATCAAGGATGAGATTTGAAAACCAGTAATTCAAAGTAACATTTGTGATGAAAAGTTAAATTGACTGCAGGCCATAAATTAGAAGTACGCTCGTAGCTGGGAAATTTTCTTCGTGAATGAGACTGCACCTTTAACTGATGATGAGTACTGTAAAGCTAGACTGCTTTCAAGACGACTAACAGCTACTTAAAGACTAATCAAGAAGCCACACCCATGTTAAAGATGCATTCCCCGTGCTTTTTTTACCTCCAAAATAGATTTGTTTTTATCGATTGCTTTTTCCTAAGAAATATAAAAGTTATTCACTTTTGAATGAGACATCGACCGAAAAACATCCACCGATATTGATTGAATTATTTCCCAGAAAAAATGGAATTATTGGCTACCGGACAATAATTCAGCTCTCGCAGGGTGATTAATTTGTGCGCAAAATGATCTTCCTTTTTCAGAGGGTTGCCGACACCCAAAAATCGGAATAAAGTGGGTTTTTTTTTGTTAGAACAATACATACAAATTGAAAAGTCGTTAGGAGAAAAACATCCATTCTTCAAAGAGCACAAAGCATCCGTCTTTAAGCAATTTGTGAAATACCTTGGCAATCGAAGTGGCATTGAGCATGTGTGTGTGACCTGTGCATAAATATGGCATACAGTACACTTAAATAATTGGTTTTGTGGCCAAATGGATTTATAACGAGTTAGTTTTTATAATTGGAGAGGGACAGAGCAAACAGCGCCCTCTAGCGGTCTGTCTCATACCTGATTGACCTTTTTCTGATCTTTCTGCTTGCGAGACTTCTTGGCCGCCTCAATGTTTGCGGCTGTCTCCAAAGCAGCCTCCTACATTGTGGAATAAAGAAAACAATTGGCATAAATAAACATTCTGATCAAATACTTATAACCCTCAATTTCCCTTTCAAATTTGAACAAAACAAAAAAATAAAAATGACATTTGTGACCGGCTCCACAAAAAAGGGTATTATGTCGCAAAAAGGTGAAATTGAGTCATATACATGTTTGGAAAGCCCACAGTGTAAGCTTTCATTTGGTGTATAATAGAGCTCCATAGCCCCTCTCGTTCTGGAGACATGACGTATTTGTATTGATTAAATCCTTGGAGTTCAAATTACACAACTGAGAAAACAGGCTTTGAAATAGCTGCCTTTGTTGTAGAACAACAGAACGACGCACACAAAATGGTTGGTTTTCCCTTTTTATTCATCAGAACCAACTTTTCTGTGAATGAAACCTGAAACTGTAGGTATTAAAGATGTCATTCACGACAAAAAAATGAAAATCATATTTTGACAAAATGTTCACCTTCTCAATGTTGAGCGGGTCATTACACAATAATGCTCAGCGCGACTTAATATCCTATTTTGTGGAGCCGGTCACATTTATGTGGTTAAAAACAGCTAACAAAATGTAACTCTTCAGAATCAACTTTTCTGTGAATGAAATCTGAAACTGTAGGTATTAAAGATGGCATTCATGACAAAAAATGAAAATCATATTTTGATAAAATGTTCACCCTCTCAATGTTAGGCCATTACACAATAATGCTCAGCGCGACTTTATACCATTTTTTGTGGAGCTGGTCACATTAATGTTAAAAACAGCAAACAAAATGTAACTTAGGAACAGTTGTCTCATGTAAAAGTAATGTTACACTAAAGACTGACAAGAAACCACCCCCCCCCCCCCCAAAAAAAATAATGAATTATTAACTATATAATTTCAAGTAAGTATTTCTTGTTTTGAAGTGTGGTTGCCATTTTACCTTTTGCTTTTTCCGATGCTCGTTATCTGCTTCTGCTTTCTGTTATGAAATCACAAAATAAATGACTTTTAAATCTTGCAATGATTTCCAAAAAATAAATTTCAATGTAAAATTTGGACTCGAACTCTCCAACTCTCCACAACTAAATCCTGCATTTTCACCATCCCTGACAATTATGCAATTTTGACGACAGGGACAACGAAGATTTACCTTGTAAGCGTTGACAAAACGCTGGAAGAGGGAGAAGAACGTGCTGGGCGGGCACATCTTGGGGTTTTCGCCGTAGTAACCGACCGCTTCATTGTAGGCCTCCTAGCAACAAGAACATAGCAACCATTCCAAAGAACCAATCAGACACTTCCTTTTTGAAATTTTTGATTAAAAATTATATGTTATAAATTCCTGCTTTTTTTTACATTTTATTTAAATAATCTTAAGAAATAATTTCAAAATTAGAATCAAGCCTTTTTCTCAAACCTGCTTAACGGAATAAAATATTGCTTAGGAGTTTTTTAACCGAAAAAATACTGCTTAGAAGGTCCGGTGTCACATGAAAATCAGACTTCTATGAAAATCTGACTCCTTCACCCTTTTATTGGTTAAACCCTCTCACAAGACCGGTCACTCTCCTAATTATCTTCGCTAAGGAATGCGCAATACTACCAATGAGTCCGTATTTCACAGAAACCTAAGTTCACGCTACACCGGTTACCATGATCTGCATATTATACAATTGGTTCAATGCCACAAATCTGCTGAGTTAGTAAACATTCTTAGCGTATTTACGAATTTGATAACTTTAGTTTCAGGGGTGCCACTCCCAAAAAATAGTACGGAGAGCATATGTTTACCTCTGCTTTCTTCATGTCGCTGTCGACCTTCTTGACTTTGTCTTCATTTGCCAGGAGGAAATCTCTCAGGATCGAGTTGTCGTGCTGCTGGGCAAACTCTCGCTTGCTGAGCTGGATGCCCGACGTCAACTGCCTGATATCTATCACCAGGTTCTCCAACGAAACTACGGAGATTATGAAAAGACTGGAATTTTAAAAGGTCTGAAAGTAATTTGCAAACTCAAAACGAGTCTTTGAAAGTTGGACAGCTGAATGGGAGCTGAGTGCAGTTAACTCATACCTATCCTAGTGACACAAAGATGGTCGGCCGACCACTGTTGGAAATTGATGCAACGCTTTCACTTTTCTCAAAAATAGCAGCACACCAGATGCCATGATTTCACAGGATGCTTGGGACTATTGTTCTCTTACAGTCAAGTAAGGTACTTCATAACAGTTTGGTAGTTTTGTTTTCTGAAGTTTGTAAATGTTGTATATTACCTTTAAAGGGAATATACAACATTTGCAAACATCAAAAAAAAAACTACCAAGTGTTTACGAAATACCTTACAAGGATGTTGGTAAATGACAGTCTAAAGCATCCTGTAAAATTATGGCACCTGGTGTGAAGTCCTTTTCAAGAAAATGGTATTTTTGTATACATTTCCAACAATGGTCGGCCGACCACCGTTGGAAAAACCTAACTATTTTTCAACTACTGCTCCAAATTTACAATTTTGTTCAGTCCAAATTTTGTTTGCTATTGGTTACATGTTCATGAACGGGTGCAGGCCAGCTAGACTGGTTCCCTTACCGTACAATTTTCCGGCATCTGTAAATTGATCCATTTTATATTTAGTGGAGTCAGGGAACCAGACTACTTGAACAGTTTTGTTTTTCTTCGTTTTGCCAGCATTTTCAAACACAAAACCTCTAAACATGTCAGTGTAACAATATTTGATCTATTATACTAACCCCTCAAATAGTTAATTTCTGAAAATTACAGCAAAAGCCAATGATGTACATTCCCTTTAACAATGAAAAACTAAAAAACCAAGGGTTTTTCCTACCTGCAGCTGCCTTTTCAACGTACTGTAGATCCAAGCAAAAATCTGACGTACCGGGGAACTTTTGATGAACCGTCTCCACGATGTAGTGCAGTAGGGTCATAGACCGGTCAGTGGACTTGGTATCCAGTAACTGAAACAAAAGCCAAGAAATTATAGAAATACAGATATCAATTATCAAAACAGAAGTCAAAATGTGAGGCAAGATTCCGTGAAATTAAGAAGGGGAAGAAAAAAAAACAAAAAAAACTGTAGGGCATGCTTACAAAGTTCCGTAGACACAACTTTGCTCCTGTTGACAAAATCAATTGGGGTAAAATATCCTGCTTCTGGACATAAGTTCTAAATTTGCTAAGCACAGAAAATATACGCTTAGCAAAAGCAGGTAACCGGCAAAAGCAATGTGTAGTGTGTGTGACTGGTACTCCACCGATTGTTTACTGATCAGAAAAATATGCTAAGTAATATTTTTCTGCTTAAAAATTTCTTGATGTTTTTTTTGTTTTTTTTTGTGCTTACCGTGTCCAGACTCTGCAGCTTGAACCCATAGGCTGCTCCTCGCTTAGCGCTGTTCAAGTAGTTGCCAAACGCTAAGACAATCTCCAAGATCTTCTTGAGCCGGGCGGAGGTCTTGATAGTGAGTGAGGCCGACGTTATGGCATTCAGTTGCTGACGGAAAGGAATCGTTAAAAAGTGAATTGAATAAGAAATGGTTGTGTATTTTGTGGATTTCTTTAATCCTGAGAAGACAAAAGCTTGAGCAATTTACAGGGTATTTTTACAGCTTAATTTACTGACTCTCTGAAAGTAGTTTTGAAATTGTAGAAATTTGTCTTTGGAGTATTGATTTACTATGTCAGATTTGGTAACAAAGATACATAGTTTAGTTACTGCACAACGTAAGTTACATCTTTGAGAACAAATAGGTTTACTCTAAACAAATTTAATTTAATGAATGGCAAAACCTAGTTTGATTTACATCACCCCGACGCAAAATTCCATCTTTAATATGAATAGTTATGCAGTACCCGCTGCTATGTACATCAGATTCGAACCAGCCAACCGATCCCGTTAGCTCGGTGGTCGAGTGGTAAGACGTCTGCACTACAAAGCAGGAGGTCGTTGGTTCGAGTCCCACCCGAGTGATTTTGTCCAACTTTTCACTCGGGAGGTAACACACTGAGTATACAGTGTTTATACGTCGGTGAAGGGCAAAACCTAGTTTGAAACTTAATTTGGGATGACAGATTAGCATCTTACTGGTTTGATGGCCTTAATCGTGTCGTCAAAGTTGCCCATGAAACTCATGATGGCAAGACGGTCGGACAGTCTCTCCACTTTGGACAACTGTGGAGAAAAAAATGGTAAGATTATTAAAGTTAGACAGTGGAAAAACCCATAAACAGATGAGTTTTATAATAAAAGAAACAGTAAGAAGTTAAATGGGTTTAAAAAAAATAATTTCAGTTCAAATTTTTTGGATGAGGCAAAGTTTTGTACTAAACAAAAGTCGTGTGGGAACCAGTCAACAGTACTGAACAATACATGCCATTCTAGCTGGTAACCAATATTTAAGTAAAACTTGTTAATTTTTTAACTTAGGCTGCATCCGAATCAGGTCTAGGTCTGCGCCTGTTGAAAATACGCGTGGAGGCACTGACAATAGACGTAGCTGTAGCTCTGGAAGCCCGTTTCGGACACAACCTTACACGAATCATGAGGCAATTTTTCAAACTGAGCGAAAGCCGTATGGGAACCAGTCCGCAGTAATGCACAATACATGCCATTTTAGCTGGTTACCAATTTTCGCTAACTAGGTCGTTTGTTTTCACTTACGCTGATCATCAGCCTATCTTCTTCTGTCAGTTGCTCGATAGGTTTCTTGTCTTTTTCGTACTGTTTGAAGACTTTGACCTCGCCGTCATTGGGCAAGAATCGCTGGAGTTGCTCTACGGTGTCCAGTTCCAACAGGTTCAGATCCAACCTGGGCAAAATTTTTTTTTTTAAATTTGAGCCTGCAAATATATATATTTTTTAAGACAAATTTTCTTTTTGGAGGGGGAAGTGGTTCTGAGGTTAGGAGTGGGATTCGTCACTGGAGTCAGGCATTATAGTCTAGCAGAATGATGTGTCCTCAGGCAAGCTACTTTACCCTTATTTACCTCTCTACATTAACCCTCCTGCTATTTAAGCAGTCACGGACAGTCAAAATTCACTTCCACTTCCCAAGCTATACTTTTAACAAAGGCTAGTCACCAGCAGTCAGATCGTATGTCAAGCAAGTACTTTGTCTAGTCAAACTGGGTCAACAGACAAAACAGGCAAGTTGTGGTCACAGCTGTTTTATCACTCACCCGGAGTCAAAGCATAGCTGTATCAAGTTACTTAAACAGTCCAAGGCAGTCAATCCTGCTTTATGTGGGCTGGGCCCCTTACGGGTTGAAAACAGTTACCTGATTGATTTGGACAGCAAGGACAACTTGGCACAGAATGTATGTTTGCATAGGAGGGTTAAGGAGATTTATTGGAATTGTAATATGTCTTGTGATATGACTTGTAAATTGGTCTTGTCATTTTGTCTTCTGGTGGCTTTGTGATGAACTTGTGATTTAGTTGTGATTGACTTATCATCGAATCGTGATTGACTTGTGATTTAACTTATGACAACCTTGTGACTGCCTTGTGACAGCCTTGTGACTGCCCTGTGACTGCCTTGTGACAGCTTTGTGACTGCCTTGTGACAGCCTTGTGACAGCCTTGTGACTGCCTTGTGACAGCCTTGTGACTGCCTTATGACAGCCTTGTGACTGCCTTGTGACAGCCTTGTGACTGCCTTGTGACTGACTTATGATTGACACAGTATTTGGGTGAAGAAAACCCTTACTTTTTGATAGCCTCTACGATCTGCTTGACAGTCAGCTCAATCTTGCGCCTCATGATGGAGATGTTCTGCAGTCTGTTGGGATCCAAGAGAGACTGTTGCTTCTTCTTGGAGGGGGACTTCTTGGGCCCGTCCTTGGCTGTGAAGTTGCCAGCGGACTGGTTCTGAGTCTTGAACATCTCTTCGAAATTCTCAAAGTTGATGTCCTGCGGGAGATAAGAGAAAAGAGTGAATGATTTCAAAAGTTCATTTCAGTCATTTCAAAGGCGGTATTGAAAAGTCTTCAGACTTGAGATTTGAACAGAGTCAATGAAACATGTTGTCCTTGGGCAATACACTTTACTGCAAGCACAGTGCTCTACACAGCAGCGTGGGGATTTAAAGGTTGCAGGCCAGTAAATCGGTCCAAAATCGCCTACGCCGGCCAAATCACGATTTGCATGCCCTCAAATTCTTCGTTATTTGAGCATATTGTGGGCCATGAACTTGAGGGTTTGTTAAAAATATGGGTGGAAGCCGTGCACAGGACTGTGAGCTTGTAGTTCTGTGCAATTTGGATGAAATTGGAGCCCTAAAAGCGCTCTATTTGCCATAGAGTGCAGGCGTCGGTTTTCAAAATGGCGATGGTCTTCAGGACCACTTTAAGGGGTGATCATCTTCGGATGGAAATTTCTCCTAAAAGTCATTAGTTAACCCCCGAAAATTGAAAAGAAAATGAAAGATGATAAAATTAGCTTTAATTTGATGTGTGTCTCGAATACCTTGGAGAGTTGTGAGTATTTTTCCTGAATTTTTGAAGTGGGGGCAATTATCGTTGGGGTCTACGGCAGTTTATTTACTGGTCTGCAACCTTTAGTTACTGCCTCCTACCCACCTTCATGACTTTGGTGTCGTCGAGTTCACTGAAGACCGTGCCCCCGATCTGGTTGGGCTTGAAGGCGACCCAGTTGAGGAGCGGGAGACGATATTTGGTTCGGATCTTGCCTTTTATGGTCACAGCTGAAACCAAATTTTGTTTGCCGTTATTAGGGAAGTACAAGAAATGGGGAAAATAGAACAAGTTTCAGTCTACAGTGAAAGTGAAAGAAATGCAATTTTTGATGTCAACAAATGTGATGCGATCAAGCTACATGAGTCATTTGTCGACCACGGTCCAATTTTTTTTATTACACATTTGAAAAGAGCACAATCTCAGCATTACTGCTGTGAAAAATGCATGCTGATACCATCTTTAGTTAATAAATTATGGAAGTTGGAACACCAAGAGATGTGATGAGGTGATGTGATGAAGTGGCCCTATTTTGGCCTGAATCTCCAAATGAAAATTCCCGACAAACAACTCATTTAGCTTGATTGCATTACAAATGTAATTTCACTGTAACATTTATTTTAACCTTTAAATTTGCTCTAAGAATGAACAGGCTTTAAAAGAGGAGGATGAATGCCGTAATTTTGATTTACGTGAACAAAATCAAATTTATCAGTGTCAGAAACTGACAATAACGTAAACAACACACACAAGGTAAACAACAACAAAGATAGAAGAACTTACAGCCATCGGGTGCCGCTCCGAAGATACCACCAGGAGGTGGGGGTGCTCCAGGAGGGGGTGGGGGTGGGGGCACACCAAACATTGGGGGTGGGGGAGGGGGTGGGGGAACTGCACTGGGAGGGGGAGGGGGTGGGGAGGAGGGGGTGGGGGTACTGTAAAAGAAAAATGAGAAAACGAGTTGAACAATTAAGTCAATTGGCTGATATTCCATTGGGCCGAATTTTTTTTTTTTTTACAATTTGGTAACAGTTCAACACACTAGAATGATCATAAAATGATCAATAATAATTTTCAATGGCTCACTTCCAACTTAAAGGGAAAATACAACATTTGCAAACATCAAAAAATAAAAGAACCAAATCATTTTGAAAACCTTGCTGGACTGTTAGTGAATGACAGTGTAAAGCATCCTGTAAAATCATGGCACCTGGTATACTGTCATTTTCAAGAAAAGTGGTATTTTTGTATCAATTTCCAACGCTGATCGGCCGATCAACGTTGGAAACAACTGGCTTTTTTTCAAATACTGGCCCTAATTGACCATCGCACTTGTTTGCAATCGATTACAAACCTATGAACGGGTACGAGCCAGCTAGACTGGTTCCCTGACCTTACAATTCCCCAATGTATGTAAACTGCTCTGTTTCTTCTTATATGGAGTCAGGGAACCAGACTACAGGAAAATGATCGTTTTACTTGCTTTTTATAGCATTTTCGAACCCAAAACCTCAAAATGTCAGTGTAACTATATTTGCTATATATTTCCAACCCCCCAATTCCATCCATTTCTGAAAATTACAGCAAAAGCAAATGATGTATATTCCCTTTAAGTTCAAAACACTGACATAGTCTTAAAACTGATCATTTGAAGTTACTCTGGTAAAAGTAATCGTTACTTTCAAAGAGCTAAGAGCAAAAGACCATCTCAGCGAATTCAGAACGTCCGTGTCTACTTACGGTCATCTGGGGGTGGGGGGAATCCCCCACCGGGTCCGTCACCGGGTCCGAAGCCTCCTCCGCCACCAGGTCCGCCACCACCAGGCCCGCCAGGTCCACCTCCGCCAGGGCCACCACCTCCCCCAGGGCCGCCTCCCCCAGGGCCACCGCCCCCGGTCCCGCCCCCGCCACCGCTCCCCGGCCCTCGGGCTATCGACGTCCGTTTTAACGTCTCGATCGTGACATCGGCTTCTCTCTTCTGGGTCTTCGGATCAAATTTTAAAAAGCAGCAGAACATTTAAACCTTTGGAGAAGATTCCCGACATATTTACTTGCAAGGATAAAAGTTTCACAGGATTGCTTGGGTTCGAACCCACAACCCTCTATTTACAAGTGCAGTGGAGCATTAACAAAATATCAAGAACAGCAATTTCCAACCGATCCCGTTAGCTCGGTGGTCGAGTGGTAAGACATCTGCACTAGAAAGCAGGAGGTCGTGGGCTCGAGTCCCACCCGAGTGATTTTTCCAACTTTCACTCGGGAGGTAACACACTGAGTATACAGTGTTTAAACGTCGGTAAAGGGCAAAACCTAATTTGATAAACAGCAATTTTGTCTTCTTAAAATGTACATCACCAGTTGCAAAAGGCTGCAGGTTTTGTCAAAATAAGGAAGACAATTATGGTCTTTTTATTAGCAAATTCGTATCTGCCATCACTTCCAAACCCTTCTAGTAATTTTTTTTGTCTGCATGTGGTTGTCATTTTCTTTTCTGTTTCATTTTTGTTGGGTTAATTCTCATGAGATTGTAGCCTTTAGTCAAGTCCCACACGCCTATACCCGGACCATCCGGACACGTAACGCACCTCGGATGCTGGCAGGTAAAAAAGACTAGCACGAGCGGCAAAGCTGCGAGGGCCTTTACTATCTCGTGGAACTAATCACTTATTCATTTATTCATGTAATATAAATCAAGCAATATAAACCAATCATCTAACGGTGGTTTGCGGTTAGCAGCAACAGCACACGCGCCATGGCGCGCGTGCTGTCTGGCGCCCGATGACGGCTGATTTACATTAGTAATTCTGCATTTTCATTGGTCAATTCACAACGGGTAATGCATTATGCATGTCTACCAAATCAGTAGACAAAATGTAAAGAAAAACATAAGGGTTCTCCACGAGATGGTAAAGGCCCTCGCGGCTTCACCACTCGTGCTAGTCTTTTTATGTGTCAGCATCCAGGGTGCGTCACGTGTCCGGGTAAGCACGTGGGACTTGACTAAAGGCTAATGAGATTGAAGAGCACAGAATGTGTAATTGGATTCCTGCGCAGTGTTGATTCTCAAGGATTCTGAGGAAAAAAATTGCCTGGGGAACTTGTGTTAACGTCTAGACAGCAAATCAGACATTGATACGGATCAACAACTTTCTATGATGGTCGATTTTGAGATGATCTGGTACCAGACGCACCTTGAGCGATTCCAGGTCTTTACTGGTCGAGGCAAGCTCCAGCTGCAACTCAGCTATTCTGGAGAGAGACGCGTCTTCTTGTTGTCGTAGCTGCTCGTTCGTCTACAGAAGTAAGACAAATTGGACAAATTTAGTCTAACGTACTTTTAGGTCTGCCATCTCAGTAAGCCTATACTCTATATACTCAGGGGTATCACACATAAACAAGAAAACATACATCCCAAAACTGTGAGAAGTTTTCTGAAAAATCCAATTTTTTTAATGATGAGGTCGACAAAATTGATAAGTAAAAATGATTGATGCACAGTCAACAGAAAAGTTATTTGTTGGTTTGGCTGTTTAGCAAAATAAAGTTCAAATTAAGGCTGAACAAAGAAATTGACTTGAGTGAGATTTGAACCTGTAACTTCCGGATTACCGTTGCTCAACCAACTGAGGTATCAAAAACGTAGGAAATGGCAAAAGGGGATCACTTATAGAGAACACAAACTTTGCGGGAAACCCCGGGATAAAGGATTTTTGTTTTACCTGGTAGAGGTTCTCTTCTAGCTGTCCCACTCTCTCGAGTGCTAGGTTCTTAGTGTCCGAGTCCTCCATCAGCTGGCCGACGTCAAACATGTTATCCAGGTAGGCCTGGATCTGGGTGTGGAGGCGGTCACTCTCCGTGTTCTTCAGTTTCTGGGAATTGGAGGGAAGACGTGTGGGTCAGAACCTGAACTAGGACTTGATCTGGGGGGCTAGAACTGGAACAATACTAAAACTAGAACCAGATATGGAATAAAACTGAAGGCTAAAACCTGAACTAGGACTAAAACTGGAATGAAATATGGGATAAAACTTTTAGCTAGAACTGGAACTAGGACTAAAACTAGAACGAGATATGGAATAAAACTGACGGCTAGAACATGAACTAGGACTAGAACTGGAACTAGAACTAATAATAGAACCAGATGTGGAAAAAATCTGAAGGCTAGAACCTGAACTAGGACTTGAACTGGAATGAAATATAGGATAAAACTTTTAGCTAGAACTGCAACTAGTACTAAAATTAGAACCAGATATGGAATGAAACTGAAGGCTAGAACCTGAACTAGGACTAGAACTGGAACTAGGACTAATACCACAACCAGATAGGGAATAAAACTGAAGGCTAGAACATGAACTAGGACTAGAACTGGAACTAGGATTAATAATAGAACCAGATGTGGAAAAAATCTGAAGGCTAGAACCTGAACTAGGACTTAACATGGAATCAGAAATGGGATAAAACTTAGTGTTACAACCAGAACCAGGACTTAGAACCAGACCCAGATATAGGATTAAACTTTGGGCTAGAACCAGAGCTAGGTCTAGACCTAGAACCAGAGATCAAGTAGGCCTAGACCCAAGACCCATGGAAAAATATGAAAAACAAAACAGATCTTGCGCTGAACTTGGACCATGATAAATTTATAAACATCATGAGAAAAATAGTCAGAAAAAAATCTGAGACCAACATCAGAAACTTTTGGAAGAACCACAGCAGAATCCTTAAGAAAATGGTAAATATAAGAACCAAACAAAAGAACCAAGGGCTAAATTGGCACTTGACAAGGAACCAGAACTAAAACCCAAAGAACCAGAGTATTAAACTCACCTCCAAGTACCGGTCCAGTCCCAGCTTGGTGAACTCAAACTGAAGATACGATCGGAAGTTCATCTCCTCCACTGAATGTACAACGATGTTGATGAACTGCATGCACGCCACCTATCAAATGAAAATCACAGACAAAAGAGTTGTTACAAGAATTATGATAATTAAAACAAAATCAAACTGATGATCAGAATCAACCAAGTTAGTTTTCAAGAAGATTCCTCAAGTTCCATGCTACACACATCTATAAAGACTTCATTCATAAATACCTAAGACAGTTTTTACCCATTCCTATTGGTCGAGAGCCAGGATTGTGGGTATTTTGAAGTTAATAGAACACTGACTGGTTTTTCAACACTTTTTCTGGCAACGCTGCATTCTGCGCCACACGCGCCAATCTCCATATAAGGAGATTTCTAGTATTACTCGTGCGAGGCACAAACCATAACAATTGCTAGAAGGGTGTTTCACAAAACATGAAGTAAAATTGTTCAACAAAATCGTTGGAAATTTATATTTTTTGACTAGTTTTGGCTTTTTGACTGAAGGTATTGATGAATGGGAATAAATAGGTTTCAAGCATATTTGTTAAAAACCAGCCAAGCACATATTTATTCCCTTAGTAAAACCCATCTAACGATTTCCAAAAATCAATTTCCATGATGACAGCAGGAAAATTAAAGTTGGAAAGAGGGAACAGACGGTTGAAAAGGAAAAAAAATGTAGAGGTGTTTTCAATCAAGCTTACCATGAAGTCGATATTCGTGTCTTCGTATTTCTGGAAGTACTGAAACAGGTTCTCAAACCTATACCGCTCGCTACACTCCTGAAATGAACAATGAAAACAAAAATTGATATCGTCAAGGATTCTTTGTAGTACACATCAAAACTCGTCATTCAATCTCAAAGTCAGGTTTTTTTTATGACAGCACGCAATTAGTTTAGTTTGGATTTCCCCGGATTTAGGGATCAAGCTTTGCCAAAACATTTGTCTGCAGGATCTGCACCGTTTATTCTGACTCAGCAGGTAATACCTCCCTCACACAAATTCTTCAAATTAATTTTTCATCTTGGACAAAGACCCTGAAATTTGAGACCGACATGCAAGATTCTGGTCCGATTTATTTATTTTGTGAGCTTAGACATGTCAATCTCAGATCAACACTTCCGGAACACAACCAGAGTGATATCTACGAGTCTTCGTTCTGCGCTGCTTATTTTGATGGCTTAGCGGCCATAATCCGACATCCCCTCAAATTAATTTTTTTTTTCCTGGATGGGATTTCGTAAGTCTGGTTTCGAAGTCGTCACTCACCAATTTGAAGTTGTCGAAGGCACCCAGGATTATCTCGTGTCCTCCCTTGACCAGGCAGACCGCTGCCAAAAGCTCCAAGACTAAGGCTTTGGTTCTGGAAGGAAACAAAAAGAAAATTCTTGTATTTAAAACGGGCCGCCTTTCAAAAATTGCCCAATATTGCCTGTATTGCCCAACAGGTTTGTTAAAGGTAGAATAGATCATTTGTCACTTGTGCATTTTTGTCGTTTGAAGCAACAATAGTGCTCAAAATCTAAGGACGGGTGCTTAAAGGGAATGTACAACATTTGCTTTTGCTGCAATATTTAGAAATAAATGGATTTGGAGGATTAGTATGTATAGCAAATGTTGATAAAACTGAGTTTGCAGGTGTGTAATCAATCGCAAACAAAATGTGGAATAACAAAATATGAAAAATTAGGAGCAGCTTTTGAAAAGAAGCCAGTTTTCTCCAACGCTGGTCGGCCGACCAGTGTTGGAAAAACACACGTTTTCTTGAAAATGTCAGTACACCAGGAGCCCCGATTTTACAGGATGCTTTAAAATGTCATTTCCTAACAATCCAGCAAGGTTTTTCGTGGTAATTTGATAATTTCGTTTTTTGATGTTTGCAAATGTTGTATATTCCCTTTAACAGCTAACCTGCTGAACTTTTAGCTTGAGATTGCTGTATATTCTGAGAAAACAATATTCTAGGATCTCGGTTTTAAATTCAGAAGTTGCCGAGTGATATTGCGAATTGCGCCCGAAATCAGCTTCTGGAACACGTTCTCATTCAGCCGATTACAGCCACGCGATGTCACACACTGAACCGACGAATAATATCAACTGCGCTCGCGTGTGCATCGTGTCAACGCTTGCCCCCACCCATTCACAAATTCACCAAATTACAAACCAATTAGTAACGGAAATTTCCAGAAATGTGTCACTTGAATCATCGTTGGAAATGACCTTCTGTTATTGTTTTCTTCAAAATGACATTATGCCAGAAAGAATAATTTCACAGAGAGTTTAGTGTCATTACTATCTTTAAACCAAGTAAGCTTTTTAACAATAATTTGGCCAAATCCTTTTTTGATAGCTACAAATGATGTACTCTATCTTTAATTCAGGCTCAAGCTTATTTTTTTAATGACACCTTTTTTTCCCCAACTTTGGCTCTTCAAGGGTTTCATGAATGACTAAGTAGCAAGTCCACACTGTTTGCAATTCTTCTGCTGCTAAATAAATTTTTTAGATCATTTTTTCCCTTACCTTGGGCTCTTGTGGTTGAGACTGAGTGCTATTGCATTGATGCACTCGTTGTGGTTAATCACAAGGTTGAAGCCGTACTGCGGAAATAAAACAAATTAAGAAGAATGACTTGAAGGTATTAAATTCCCCTTTAAGAACAGAGTGACGTCGGGGGCTTGGATTGGGGGTTGGGGGGGGGGGGGCTGCAGGCTTGGGGCAGGGAGGGGCTGGGGGTGGGGAGGGGTTAACGGCTGGGGGCGGTATTAAGAGAGTTGGGGAAAGGGGAGGAGAAGGTACAGGAGTGGCTCCAAATACCTGAAAATTCATGATGGCCCTGCAGCACATGATACAGACGTGGACGTCGTCTCGCGTGATGGCCAGGTGGTTGGGGGATCCGCCGGGCTTGGAGCTACGCCTGGTAGTCCGCATGCTGCGTGATGTGGTGGGCTTGGGGAGGGTCTCCAGCTGCTCCTCAAACCTGGTAGACAAATGGTACAAGAAGTCAGGGTACCATACACTGCAATGCATTGTGGGTTCAAGTCCGGACCTATAGTATTTGTCATGTTCCTTTTTTTTTCTCATAAACTTCTTGATAAAAGGTTTGTCTTGAAATACTTTTCACTTAGCATATAGAGGTGGGCTTAAGGAGGGTCTCCCGCTGCTGCCTAAAACTGGTATATAATTGGTGCGAGAATTCAGGGAACCATACACCATCAGAATGCAATGCATTATGGGTTAAAGTCCCTTAAACTTTTTAAAATTGTAATTTATTAATAATTTGGATTGTTTCTGGGTTCTATTTTGGGTTTTTTCCCCGTTTCTTTTCATAAAATTTCATTTGGCATCAAAACTTATATTAATGCTCTTAAAATGTTCAGTGATTTCAGATGATTTCATCCAATGTCGGAACTCAGCTTGTGATCATTAACGGCTGGCTTCTTTAAGCAAACAGAAGTCATGTTCCTAAATAAACGTTGACACGTCATTTTCTAAACACTTACTTCCCTCCAAACAAACATGCTGGCTCTGTGTCGATCGATAACATCATCTGGGAAATTAGCTTTTGTTTCTCAATTGTTTCTTTAAAGACAGCATTCAAGGATATGAAAACTAAAATTTATTAGTAGTAATTTTTTTAGTAATTTTGTCAGGCAATGGCCCCTTTCACTTTTGCTTTCTTACAGTATCGGTTAATAAATTTCCCCAAGTGAAAGAACTTTTTATATTCTGGGTTGAAGTGAAGTCGATCTGGCATATCAGGGTGAACTTTCACTTTTTATTTTTGTTGTAGAGTTTAATCTAATTACATTTTAGACTGAGGGGGGGGGGGGGGGATTTCCATGGAAGTGTAAGTAGGTCATTATACCTCGAAACTGAACGTTAATTGTGCCAAAGGGAAATGGTACTGCACAATGCAATATGAAAACTGACTACTCCAGATACCACTTTTCTCAGAAGTGCAAAGTTCACAGACATTTTATGGATGTAACCTTGTATAAACGTTGTACAGGTATTTCCCTTACAAGTTTATTGTGTCAGTTCACTGTCTATTTCACTGTTAAAGACAATGTACAACCATTGCTTTTGCTGCAATTTTCAGAAATAAATGTTATAGCAAATAATGTTAAACTGACTTGTTTCACGTTTTGGCTTGTAGATGCTTGAAAAACCAAGAAAACCAATCATTTTCTTGTAGTCTGGTTCCCTGACCCCACTTAAGATGAAACGGAGCAATTTATAGACTTTGGGGAATTGTGATGTCAGAGAATCAGTCTAGCAGGCCTGTACCTCTTCACAGGTGTGTAATCAATTGCAAAGAAATGTGAAAAAGTAGGAGCAGTTTTCTCCAACGGTGGTCGGCCGACCAACGGTGGTCGGCCGAACAGCTTTGGAAAAATACAGATTTTCTTGAAAATGTCAGCACACCAGGAGCCACAACTTTACAGGATGTTTTATACTGTCATTCCCTAACAATCCAGTAAGGTCTTTGGTGATAATTTGATCATTTTGTTTTCTGATGTTTGCTGATGTTGTATCTTCCCTTTAAAGGTAATATACATTTGCAAACATCAAAAAACAAAAGCCCCAAATTATTATGAAATACCTTACTTGACTGTAAGTGAATAAAAGTCTCAAGCATCCTGTGAAATCGTGGCACCTGGTGTGCTGCCATTTTCGTGAAAAGTGGAATTTTTGGATCAATTTCCAACGATGGTCGGCTGACCATCTCTGGGAATAACCTGATCTGGATCTGGACACCCAGTTTGGACACAGACTAATACTTGACTAGAGCTTTTTCTGATGTACTCACGTCATGGCCTTGTTGAGCCATTGGAGGTATTCCACAAGTACGTCAAGGCCTTTATTCTCCTCGTTCAGGAACTCCCGTACCCATCTAAGAATTGGAAGAGAAAAGTAGGGAAAATACAATGATTAATCAATTACATGCATCTGAAGAAGTAGAGTCGAGAAACGAAGTGGAAAAAGAGGGTTGCAGGGAGGGTAGGTGGGGTTGGGTGTGGCTGGGTGTGGCCCGGGTGTGGCCCAGTGGGAATGCATGGAGTGCCTAAGGTAGAGGTTGGGTGGGGTTGGACTGGAAACAAGCTGGTGCTGGCTCGCAATTGGTGAAAACAATTGTAGGTGGGGCTGAGGTGTAGACAGGGTGTGGTCAGCTCAGGATGGGTTGATATTGGGTGGGGTTGTTTTCAAGATGGGTTGGACTTTGGGGAGGTTTTTTTTTAGATGCGCTGGAATTGGGCGGAGTTGTTTTTGAGATGGGTGGGGCAGAAGTTGGGATTGTTTGGCATCAGCTTGTTTGTGCTGATTGTGAACTCTGTGTGTACTTACTGTATACTATTTGTTCGTAGTGATATTTCCAAGTCTCGTAAGTTCTGCGTGGACGTGTCAAATATCTTCTTTCTTTGGCGCTGTAAGCAACATGAAAGAAAAAGCAGTTGAGATTTGTTTATGAATAAAGCTAAGCTAAGGCCAAAATAAAATATATTCAGTCTCTGGTCAGACCAAAGTTCCGGAATTGACGCGGGGACGTGGCTTTTTTTTTTTTCTTCAAGCTTGGATTGTACAAACAAGGTGGGGTACTATTTTGCTTTTTTGGTGTCCTCATGTACATTGGAGTCCTCCATAATTTGCCTTGGTGCTCTCGATCATTTGCCTTGGTGCAATTTCCCATTCCTTGGTGCTCTTTGGTAAAAAAAAACTGAGGAGGTGCGGCAATAGAGGGCGCTGTTGGAGCTACCGCGGAACATTTTGGAAAAAAAAAATTGACGCGCATGATTAAAATCGACGCGCGTGCTGACAGAGACCGACTAATTTTTTTTTTTGGCCTGATACATATAATTTAATATTTTTAAAAAAATTGTTTATTGAACTCGAATTGGACAAATGTTTCTCACCTTTGATGTGTTCCCCGGTTCCATCACCCGTTTGATTCGTAAGATGTACGTGTGTGGCGGATCCTTCGCAGAGACTTTTTCCTACAACCAAATTTAGAAACACATGTAGAAAACTTTGCCACAAACACCCAAAGACAAAGAGAAAACAGTGTGACTGACAAACAAACAAACAAACAAACAAACGGTGAGGTAGACAGTGCTCTCCTTACCCGGTCGCATAAAACAGACAGACACTAAGACAGTGCAACAGATAAACAACCCACTGACTGTGCCATCCTCACTTGATTACATACAAACAAACAGACACTTGGACAGTGTAACTGACAAACAAACAGTCTGGTACCCTGCTCACCTGGTCGCATATAAGATCCCATTTCTTGTCGTCGTCATACTGACGAAGGAGCCTTGCCTTCTCAGGAGGCAGATCCATCTGAGCCTGAAGTTAAGAAAAGGAAAAGAAAAAAGGACATATTAGGTTAGAGTGATAATTAATCGAGTTGGAAGATGGATGATGACAACAAATCAACAATCAATTTTTTTTATGGTTTTTTAATTGTTTTATTCCCCACCATTTAATATTGTCAAAGTTACAAAACTGCAGTATTTGTGTACTGTACTCCCCAGGATGAACGTTTCTTGTTTGATAGACGAAACAAATGTATGCTTGAATTAAATTTTTCAGAACCAACTCTAAACTGTCTCCTATTCTTCCTGTTGGTCCGTATTCAATTTGTTTTGTAATTTTTAAGACATTTGAATGTTAATGTGGCTTTGAAAATGAAAAACTTAAAAATTAAACATTTGAAAAGGGAAAATGGTTTAATTGCATAAAACGGTACGTACAAAAATCTGCTTCAATGAAAAATAATTCAAGCAAGTTTTGTAATTAGTAATGAATTACGCTTACATGCTTTATTCTGAATACAAAAAGGGAATACATTTTCAATTATGTATTTTTTTTTAATAACAAAGTGAGCCACATCTGCAAATGTACATGTACATATTATTGTTTTTTTTCCTCCATTGTCTACACTCAGTCATTGCAGCCACACACATGTAAACAACTCATCACGCCAGTCTGGCGCCCGGACTCGATTCTTATCTGTTGCTATTATCAGCCTCTTCCTTGGTTCATGGTCTAATTACCGCAAGAAGGGAAACAAAAAAAAGACTGGTCTTCATTAACGACTTGCCGAATTTAGAAATTAGGGTAGGATTTCCGCTTGGGTGATTACTTAGCCAAGGTTAGACTTGCGTAAGTCTGTTTCCTCTTCCTAAACAGATGCCCCAGGAAATTTGGACTAAAAATAGCAACGCCTGGAGGATATGAGGTCATGTGACTGTCACATGACAGTGGTCATCTTTGCAAATGAATTGGTCAAGCATGGAAGAAAAAAGTTTGGCTATATAGCAAAAACAGGTTACCGGCTAACATGTTGTGTGATGTATCCAATGCCTTTTACTGGTTCTCCGCTAATTGCCAAATTTTCTTAGCATACATGTATAAACTTTCTGAGCCACATTTTTATACAAAGCACCTCAAAAAAACATTGGCTTTTTAAAAAAATACTCATAACCTATTGGTGGAGTGCTGTGGCCCACTCTGGTTGCATTTAACTCATTATCTTGTGGGTAAATCTGCAGGTTGTGGGTTCGAATCCAGCCTATGGTTCTGGTGCATGTGCCCTTAGGCAAGGCACTTTGTCACTCATTGCCTCTCCCCACCCTGGAGAAAAATGGGCAGAGATGGTCCTGTGCTTGATTTAGCCGCTTGCCCTGATATGGCAGCATTGAGCTACATGTACTCACAGAGCTGAGATGGTTTTTGGTATGATTCATTGGCCCGGAGAGCAGGGGTAATAATGTTGTACTGCGCCATGATAACCAGTTTGGTTAGTGTGTGCTGCATGTACGGTACATGTATATGATGTACATGTACATGTATATAAATCAATATTATTATTTTATTCATATTTTAGTAAGTACATGTAGTAAAACACATGCCTAATGCATGAAGCATAGTCACATGGTCATCTTTTAACCAATCAGAATTCATAAGCTTCATCCCTCTTACATATATACACATGTATCAATGGCTATAGTAATAGACCCCACCCCCGTAATTGCCACCCGCATTCAGCTTAAGTATACAGTTTCTGTTACGGCCGATGTCCGGATACAATAACCCATTTATCCACGATTAAAATCTATACGGGTATAAAACGCAATATTGTACAATACAGAAAGGGTCAATGGCCACTCGTGCACACTGGCAGTGCAGCGGTGCACAAAGTACCAGAAGATGTGCTGAGTGGGCTAGATCAGATGGCAATCTAGTGCAGAAATCTGGAGCTAATTAACAACAATACAATGGACACAATTGGGTCAAGTGATTTAAAGGGAATATACATCTTTTGCTTTTGCTGTAATTTTCAGAAATGGATGGAATTGGGGGGTTGGAAATATATAGCAAATATAGTTACACTAAATTTTTTGAGGTTTTGGGTTCGAAAATGCTATAAAAACCAAGAAAAATAATCATTTTCCTGTAGTCTGGTTCCCTGACTCCATAAAAGAAGAAAACAGAGCAGTTTACATACATTGGGGAACTGTAAGGTCAGGAAACCAGTCTAGCTGGCTTGTAGCCGTTCATAGGTGTGTAATCGATTGCAAACAAGTGCGATGGTCAACTGGGGACAGTATTTGAAAAAAAAGCCAGTTTTTTCCAACGCTGGTCGGCCGACCAGCGTTGGAAATTGATACAAAAATACCACTTTTCTTGAAAATGACAGTATACCAGGTGCCATGATTTTACAGGATGCTTTACACTGTCATTCACTAACAGTCCAGCAATGTATTTCAAAATGATTTGGTAGTTTAATTTTTTGATGTTTGCAAATGTTGTATTTTCCCTTTAAGTGCAAACTGCACACACCAGGGAGTCAGCATTTACATGTATAATGCAATATGTGGCCACACTGTGTGAGTAAATGCAATGGAATGTTTATTGCAATTTATCATATTACAGCCAAACTGTATCTGATATGCATTATGCACAAAGTGACAAAGACATCATAAATTGTGTACACATGCCATTCTGTGACAAATAATCATCCAAAACAATGGACATTTTTTATCTATTATTAAACACACTGTCTGAGTAACGGGGATTAGATGACAAGAAAATGACTAATTGCTGACTAAAACTTTAAATTTACAACCAGTTTTTTTTTAACTCATTTTTTTGTTTTGTTTAAAATTAATTTTAACAAAATAAGATTAAGATAAGCTAATGAATAATTGCTGACCAAAACTTTAAATTTACCGGTACAACCTGTATTTTTTAACCTTAATTTTTTGTTTTCCTAAAAGACATAGTCCATCATTTGTAATTTGTGCATTTTGTTCGTTTGAAGCAACAAAAGTGTTCAAAATCTAATGAAGGATACTGAAAAACTAACCTGATGAAGTTTCAGCTCAGCTTCAGCTGTATATTCTGAGAAAAACAGCATTCTAGGATCTCAATTTCAAATCAAAAGTTGCTAAATCATGTTTTGAATTGTTTTGAATTGCAGCTTTACGCGATGTCGCGCACAGATCCGACGAATTGTAGCAACCGCACGCGCCTGTGCGTCGTGCCAATGCTTGCGCGCGCTGCGCCAAATAACAAAACGAACTACTAATTTAAATTTTCCAACGGTGCTTCTTAAGACGCACCGTTGGAAAGGCCTTCTTTCGTTGATTTCTTCAAAATGAGAGCTTGCCAGGAAGAATAATTTCACAGGGAGTTTAGTCCCCTTACTATCTTCCAACCAGTATGTTTTTCAACAATAATTACGCCAAATACCTTTTTGGATAGCTGCAAATGATGGACTCCAGCTTTAAAATTAATTTTAACAAAATAAGATAAGACAATGTCCGAATGCAGATTTTTTTTTAGGGCTAACGCTTTCCATAGACTCACTGCAGTGACTAGTCGTAGCCACTGTCAAGACTCGTTTTCAGACACACCCTTAGATATTAAATTGCACATACATGTAGTCCCTTTAATTAGCCATTGTCTTTAATTAACCCGGCTCCAACAACCCCAAACTGGACACAACTAATTAATTACAGGGGCTGAGCTGTGCCATCACCTGGAACGTCAGTATTGGGGTATTGAGTGGAAGCGGCCAAGATATCAATAATAAACTAGTCCATCTGTCATCTTTATCTGGTGGTACAATAGACTTAAGCAAGTCTGCCCAGAGGATTTCTTTTTTATTGACAAAAATATTGTATTAAAAAGCAAGTATGTTTCTGCTGATTTTTTTTTTTTTTAAGACAAAAAAAATTACCTACGCGGGCCAAAATTGTAGGGCCAAAATTGTATGCCCTCAATGTTTTTGCTATGGGCTCCGTGCGCCAATGAAAGAGGGCGCCCTTTTACCTAGCAACGACGTCCCATGGGCGGGACATTTAGCTGGTTGATGCGCACCGTTCCTTGTGTGTGCCGCACGTACACCAGGGGATTTGTACTATGCACATGCAGTGGTGGTACGGCCGCGCGTCGCGGCAAAATTGCAGTCAGGCAAGATGGCATCGGTCGGTCAACTGTTCCTTCTTTGCCAGTGAGGGGGTACCGGTACTTGTGAACGGAGCGGATTAGAGCGTTTTGTGGGCCATAAACTTGAGGGTTTGTAAAAAAAGAAGGGTGGAAGCCGTGAACAGGAGTGCAAGCTCGTATTTCTGTGAAATTTGGATGAAATTGGGCCCTAAAATTCCTGTATTTTGCAATGGAGCCCAGGCATGGCGATGGGCCACAGGACCACTTTTAGGGGTGATCATCTTTGGTTGGAATTTTCTCCCAGAAGTCATCAGACTACCACCAGAAAATTGAACAGAAAATGAAAGATGATGAGATAAGCTTTAATTTGACGGGTGTCTCAAACACCTTGGAGAGTTGTGAGTTTTTTTTTTTTAAGTTCAAAGTGCGCGTAATTATCACTGAGGTCTATGGGAGTCGATTTACTGGTCTGCACCCTCTTGCATTGCTTACTGACTGGCGTACATGTATGTACTGTACTTGAGAGAATAGACGGCTTGGTCAAGTCTAGTCTCGGCACCTAAGTTAAAGGTACACCTGTCTCTTTCTGCTGCACCGTGATGTGCCAAGGTTATCCTGCTGTCTCTGTCAGTCTCCATCTTCTTATTGATTACACCACCGCCACTGCTGCAATCATTATTACCCCTTCATGACTATCTAATTAGTTTTTTTTCATTTTTTTTCGGTCACTGTACGAAGCCACTCAAGCCCAGCCACTGGAGTTCAAAACAAACCCAGTGAGTCATTATGAAAAGACAGCGAGCTCAGGAAAAACCAAAGAATGCCTTTTTTTTCCTCCCTGTTTGGGGTTGGGGAATGGATTGAGCCTTGCAGTGTCTCATATGAAAGTG